GTGTTTGTCACAAATAAAGGTCTTGAAATCTTGAAACTTTGAAAGTCAGATCTACTTGTCAAATCTGGTTTGTCAAGTCAAATTCTATTCTGCTTCAAAACAATAGTCTACAAACCAAAGGGTGACACCACGGTTTGCTATTTGTTCCTGCTGAATAAAAAAGTCATTAAAAATTCCAAATAGGTCAAATATATGCCATATTTTTAAGGCAGACTTCTTATTCACTCACTCTGTGCGTAAATGCAGCAGGCCAAGACCACACTTCTAGCTAAAGTTGTGTCAAAGTGCCCTTGTGCCAAAGAAACAAAATATCAGCAAGAGGCCTCAGCTGGTGTCAAACCCACACTGTTGCTCAGGACTTATCATCAGTACACGAGCTCCCGAGGACCCTCTGTGTTTCACTATACAAGTCCTTCCTGCCATTATTGTTGCACCCAGGTGGAGTTATTGTGGACAAATGCATTCCTTTACATTATGAAAAAAAACAACCTGAATAGTGGTTGTAAATCTAAAGTGCTACCTTTGCCTTTTAGAGCATAGATGACAGAAAATAAGATAAAGAAGAGATGAAGAATGACATGTTGCTGTTCAAGGCTGTCACTTCAAACCCCCATTTCTTCTTTCTAAAAGTAAAAAATAAATAAAAAAAATAAAAAAGAAGGAGCAAAGATGACAGCATAAACCTACACAGTGCCTCACCCCAACCAAGGCCGCCTCTTGTTATATTGTCAGAACCATGTTGCCTCTCCATCTGTGGTTGTTTCCCAGATCCCCTGGCAGGAAACACCATATGTACAGAAAGGCCTCATAAATAACTGATAAAGTCTTCCAGGCAGTACCACCATTCTTCCTTCACCCATAAATGGCTTGACCTATGACCAGCAGCTTGAAACACACTGCCAAATACACTGCTCTTACGGAGCGAGGTGCGGATCGTGGCTGAAACATCACTTTACTCTGAAACGCTCCATTTCTTAATGGACGGGTCAAGAACCTCACAGGACTCGGGGCTGAGATCTGCCATGACGGCTACAGAAGATGCAGTCTTAGCAAAGAAATGTGAGGCTTTCTTGCAACAAAAGCCATAAATACCTATTGTTTGAGTATAAAACAGGAGATAGGAGAGGAGTTTTCTTACTGAGCTGATACTAAGAACTAAAGATTTGCTACTGAATGATGAATTACTACATTCCAATAGGAAATGTGTGCCTTTTGCAGTTTTTTTTTTTTTTTTGCAGAACCCATGAATTCATTTCTACTAATTAATGAGACTTCCAACAGGGTGGAGAATGGCATCAATGTAAAAGAACTCTCTGTCCAACGACAGAGCCGGTTCAACAAAGCAGCAGCAGAAATTCTACATGTCATTAAAAATGCTCCCCTCCAAACAAGGCCAACGGGCCTCTGAAGCACAGCTTTCTGTGAGTGTAGGTGTCCTAAATGTCCCTGCATGAACCAGAGAGAATAAAACAGGCTGGAAAGGCATCAGACAATATTAGTCCGCCGTCAGTGAGTGTGAATACCGGGCCAGGTTATTGAGGCAACAGACATGCATATACACAAAATCCCCTGCAGTTAATCTCCCTAGCTGACTGTGTGTGTGTGTGTGTGTGTAGGGGGGGGGGTGTTGTGGATGACCTGTTCCATGACCGCTTACAGTAAGAACAAAATAGCACCGCTGACAGCTGAAAAGCACAATTAGTCACATTTGGAGCAAAATAAAAATGAGAGGAGCTTTTTCTTAACTGTAACTTCAGTGATTTTTGCATGAAGCGTAACAAATTCTTTAAAGATTCAAAAGCTGTGTCCTAACTGTAAAACTATTTATCATATTATGTTGCACTATTGACACACTTCACATTCCTCACTGCTTTTCCATATCACAAGGTTGGCTGCACCTACTTCCAGACAAAGGAGTGATAGACATTTTATACACCTTTCAAACTGGCTCACATTGTAACGCGTTCTAATGCATGACAAACAAACACACACGCACAACTGCACTCTTGCACAACGTACATTGCACTTTAGTTTAAGATCTCTACCTCGTTATTTATGACTTTTTTCTTCTAATTTTTTCTTAGTTTTCTTAGTTTGTTGTTATTGCACAGCCTTGAGAACAGTCACAATGAGCACACGGCAAATAAAAGTTTGAATCTACAGCACATGATTAAGTAAGATCACCTCGATAACACTGGCAGGACTGGCTTCATGTGCACTGCACCTTGTACATGAAATAAACTGCAAACTACTCTAAAGCTAAATTATTTCATCGTTTTATGACACTTTAAAGCTTTGTTATCTCATCTATGACTACTTTTGGTATAACAAACTACAAATTAAAAGAAAAAACCAACACACAGTGCCTGAGTGAAGTATTGGGCCACCAACAACAAAAGAGTATCCATCTGATGCTTCTGTGGTTACCTGGTTTAAGTAGCGTTGGGTGTCTACGTATCGATTGTGTGCTCCTCTGATATTTTGGGATCTAAATCTCACGTAGCCATCAAGGCAACAATAACTTCTAAGGTTTAATCCTTCACTTGATTTGTTCTTCATATGTTTGTTTTCAGGGCTGCAAGGTGGCGCAGTTAATAGCACTGTTGCCTCGCAGCAAGAAGGTTGCCGGTTCGTGTCCCGATGGGGGCACCGGAATCTTTCTGCGTGGAGTTTGCATGTTCTCCTCGTGCAGCGTGGGTTCTCTCCGGGTTCTCCGGCTTCCTCCCACACAGTCCAAAAACATGCCGAGGTTAATTGGTGATTCTAAATTGTCCGTAGGTGTGAATGTGAGTGTGCTTGGTTGTCTGTCTCTAAGTGTAGCCCTGTGATAGACTGGTGACCTGTTCAGGGTGTCCCCTGCCTTCGCCCTAAGTCAGCTGGGATAGGCTCCAGCCCCCCCGCGACCCTCATGAGGATTAAGCGGTGTATAGATAATGGATGGATGGATGTTTGTTTTCACCAGCTGTTGTTAGATTATTGCATGCAAAGGTGTATTTGTCCGTCATGCTCTTTAAATCAACTACTCATACTGTAGGTTTGACAAATCCTTTCTTATTATGTAGCACAGATTTAATGTGCTGCCTCCCAAATTAAACTTTGTATTTCAAGCTATCTAACAAAGTTCTATTGAGTGCATGTATCACATGGGAGTTCATTACTCCCATTAAAATGGTAAAATGAGACTTTGAATGTAGACTCCTAACTTCTAACTAACCTGTCAATTATTTAATATGAGGATCTTTGTGCACAGTAACCCAAGACCTTTGAAGCTTTACTTAATAATACTTCCTTGCTATGATTGTACCTTGTTGCCGGAAAACTCTGCTCATCACTGTCACTTAGAACCAACAGCTGTTTGTTATCGCACAGTTATAATCGTGGCATCATGTGCTTCCATAGGAACCAATCCGGCAACACAATCCACGTACCAAACCGCAAACAAAGGGGTTAGCATAACCCATGTAAGCTGCACAACACAAACAGTATATGGACGAAATATCTTTCACAGAAGTGAACCCCTGAGTTTAAGGGACAATAAACACACTTACATTGTTTGGGTACAACTCCATACTTCCTCCATGCTTCCTGGATGTTCTGGAAGCTAACTGTAGGCTAACATGAACAAATTCATAAGCAGTTCTTGTGCCAAACATTCTTAAGTAACTGTAAATGAGATGTCAGGTTGAAGTGATACTGGATAAGTTGATCTTTATCAAGGCATTTTTAAGCTTCATAAAGCACAGGTATTGTTAGAAATGCTACTGATGGCTGTGTGGCAATAATATTTCCTGAACTTTGTGTACTTCACAACTAGGACACCCCAAAGAATCAGAGCAGTGTAGAGTCTAAATGGAATGCGGAAAACGTCACTTCCTATTTCGAGGTTTGCTGCACTTTAAGCACACCCCAATCAGTGATGTCACAACAGGTGTGTGGCTGGCTATAACCAATAGGACACACCTGTTGTGACATCACTGATTGGGGTGTGGCCTGAAGAGGAAAGATCAGAGCAGAATGACGACACACCTGAGCTGACGGCATTCCAAGATGTTTTCAGGCAGCCATCGTTACCCATATAGCGAGGTGATATTAATTCAAAGTTAAAATTCCATCACAATCATTAACACCAATTAATAACACATTACGCAGTATTTTACGCATACAAACATCGCAGCAATGTGTGTGCAACTGATATATTAAGACACACATATGACAGAGGTGCTAAAAAAGTGTATTGCTACAGCTTATACTGCTGCTGAGGTACTGAGCAGCCATCTTGGATTTTAAAGTCGAGGTAGGTGAGTCAGACTTTCTCAGCTAGAAATTTGACTACAGATTGCTGTTGGGGAAATTTCCAACTAGGAACTCAGAAATTCTGTCTTGTAAGTTTCGATAGATTGGGAGAGGAGTACCACATACGTGAAAACAAACAAACAAACATGCATGTATGAAGTATTTCGAAATGAAGCAGTGGGAGCTGTGTGAAATCTTATATTACATTTAATATCCTCTAAAGTGGGAAGTTGGACATTAAAATTGTCCTTTTCGACTGTTTTTTGGGGGGAAATGGCTACCTTCAGGTTTACTTTTCTACAATCAACAAATGCTTGTCAATGGACATACAGTTAATTTATAAAGAAGCAAATGGGGGGGAAAAGTACACTGTCTAATGTTGTAGGTAAATCAAACCCTGGTTACCAAGTAGGAAATCTGACTACTGGTGGTGTTTTCTATCATTTTTCCAAGTTGGAGATCAAAAATTCTGAGTTCCAAGTTGCCACTGAATGCAGCATACCCAACTGCCTCAAATGATGGCTACAGACTACAAATGTGATGACAGTGTGGTGTTGAGAAAGAAGTGATGTTAAGATGCCTGTCTCAGCTCGTTTCTGCTTCCAAACGATCCCGTTATATTATGCAGACTGAAAGCACCAGGTTTGGACAAAGTCATTAAAAACAACAGTGAAAACTGAGCCAAAGTTAGAAACGTCAGACAGTAGTTAAGTGTAAAATGGACTTTATCACATTCACATTGCAATAAATCTCAATTTGATAACTTTATATGATACATGGGGGGGATGACGTACACATGTTCCTTCAGTACATTAATTGCAATTCATTGTGTTCTGTATACACACATATATACTTGTTTACAACAGCTGGTAAATACTGTTTAAAAGCTCTCCAGGAAAAAAACCCCCAAAAAAACAGACTCTTTAATGTTCAACTCAGTTTGGAGGAGAAAAAAAAAAAAAAAAACTTCCCCAACACACACACACGCACACACACACACACACACGGACAGACAGACAGACATACAGACTGCATTTGATCGAAAAATTGCTCTGAAATGCTACAAGACTGCTTCAATGTCAAACTGAAGTGAAATTACGTACCATGTAAAGTAGTGACAACGAGACGATTTTATGATTTTGATATGAATCACTGCAGGTGAATAAATCTGGTTTATGAAAGTGGTGTGATAAGTGTTGATGGTTAATGTTTTTAGTGAAATATTCAACCTACTGCATTTAGTAAGAGAAGTACTTTGAGGATCGTGAACGAACACAAACCCCGGCATGTTTTAATGTCTCGGCTCTATCGGAGCTGTCAGATGGGAGTTTAATGAGCTCACAGTTAATGTGCAAACGTAAATATTCTTGTAAAGTATCAAACACACTAAGATGACTGTAAATGAAAATGGCTGACAGTCTTAAGTAGCGACAGAACCACTGCGCGGCTTACAGATGTAAACCTGAATCCACTATAAGGCTGTTGTTTTGGTCATTACTCAGCGAGAAGGTGTAGCGCGGTTATCCTGCAAATCTAAAACGGGAGCTTTCTTTAATATTTTGAAGACGCACAATAAAACTTTTTAAAAACTCGGAGTCTCTCAAACATAAAAGTGTGTATTAATTTTTCCAAGTACTGACTTCCATCCAATATGGACCTAAAGACAAATAAACCTAAAAAAAACAAAACATCCAAGGCATCAAAAAATATAGCGAGACGCCATGAACAGACAATTCAATATCAACCCGAATATCTGAGCATCATTTGAAGCATACATCATATCTTATCAACATAAAAAACAAATGGAGTGTACAGGACATAATAGCTATTTGTGATTCAGTATTTACACTTCATTATGAACCTCTGAAGAACGATAGACATTTTGGCACCCAGGAAAAAAAACAAAAAAACAAAAACATGGATGCCACACTGATGTGATTTGACCAGTTGAACAATCAAACTCACGAAGCACAGATCAGGTCAAGTGACTCTTCATCAGAATAAAAATAAGTGGATTTCTCAATCATAATAATTTCACCTATATTTCTCTAATATTACTTTGAAAAATAATGCATTCAATGAAAATGTTACAGGTGGATAGTCCTACTTTCATCACGCACACACTCACTCTCTCTCTCAAGACACACACACGTTATAAAATACATTATGAGTGGTTAACCACAGAGGAGCCGACAGATGTGTGTAACCTCTGCACAACAACAGCAGCATCTCGACCTCTTTCACTCTCTTTGACGAGGAGGAGACTCCAAATGCAACTTGCTTCGTACAAGATCCAGCCTCATCACACGTACAGTATCTCAGCTTGGCCTCGGAGGCGAAAGGCTGCGGTAAAACAGGGTGAAACCGATAAGAATCTGCACTGGTTTTTTTCTTTTCTACTCAGGCAGATCAAGAGGACAGCACTCAGTGTCTGTGAATCTCTCAGGACCTTTATGCTGGTCCCCAATTATCCTCACACCAAATCCCCAGCAGTGACTAAAGCCAGGAATGTTTTGCTGGTGTCTGTCTTTCCTCGTCCGTCCCCAGGAGGCTGAAGAAGGGCTGAAGTTCCGCCTCCTGATATGCAAGGACACGTTTAAGGATGTTTCTGACCCGCTCGCCACAGCAAGATTGAGCTCACGTGATGACCTCGGTGACAAACAGACTAATGTGAAGATCATCTCCTCCTAACCGCTCTGAAAAGGATGTGATTAAGGCTTGTTGTTCTCAGTCTTTCCAGATATTCAACGAGAAATACCTGAATTAACTTTTGAGAGGAGCAGAGCTGATTTCGTCGCAGATTTTAGATCACTACTCTTTAAAAAACAAAAAAGCCTCTTTCTTAAAAAAGGTACTGCTTACCAGACTATACATTCAGTGGCCACTTTATCAGGAGTATCTGTACAACATCATGTAATCGACAACAGCCCCGCCATGACATCCACCTTTAAAATGAGTGTAACTGTCCAAAGCGTATAACATGAAACTTATTTAATGTTGTGCTGTTCTACATTGTACTGAAAGACGTTGCTAACTCTTTGTCTGTCCTATTATATACATAAAGGCTGGATGTAACTGTAGCTTCAGTGCTGAACCACGTAATTAGATGAACACGTCTGTGGCAGTGTCAAGAACCTGGAAGTTATGGGCATCATAAACGTAGACTTTATGGCCGGACTGCTGTATTAGATCGCAGTGATTGTACAGATTTAGCTAATGAACTGACCACTGGGTTTATACAGTAGTAAATGGAATCCTCTGAAACAGAGGACAGCTAGGTTCCTGGTGATAGAAAGCACAAACAAAATTTGAAAGTAAATGCAAATGAGCTGCTGATTATGCACCAAAGTCCCTCAGTCTGAGGGAAAAAAACACGGAAAAGAAAAGTCACGTAGTCCGTTGTGTCACTGATGCTCCTAAAATTCAAAATAAACAACAATTCACAGACGTTGTTGGAAAATAAAACTTGAAAATAATGAGCCCCGATATGATGCGTTGGTTGCAGGAAGTGGGCCGGTACGACTCCTCACCGCTGTTTGTGTTAGCGGCAGCTGCTTTCTGATCTGTCTTGAAAATCTACCTCTTTAATAAATAGTAGAAAAATAATATTTTCCTCTTTAAAATGTTTCTTTTTGTATTTTTCGTGAATCATTGAAGCCCCCCCCCCCCTTACTTTGAAGTTCACAAACATTCAGGAAACTGTCCAGATATCTTCCCCCGCCTCGTTATGTGAGACCAGCAGTCGCTCCTTTGGCCGAAGGCAGCAACTACGAGAGAAAACCAACTCTGGAGCTTCTATCTGCTGAACCAAGGAGAGCAATGTTGAAACAAAAGCCGTGTTAGAATCCCACTAGATCCACTTCTTTGTTGAAAATACAGTATATTCACTCTTCCAGAAATGTCCAACAGTTGTCACAAATGTAAGGAGCGCTCCGTCCCCCTCCTGGCCCTCAATACAAGTGAGTTTCAGATGGAGTGCTGGTCGAGAGGGGTCCGCGTTAGCCTCCACATTTAATGTAATTATCCACTGGACCTGAAGAATGATGAAAAATGAAGAACTTTGTCCTCCCTCAGGGCTTTTAGGTCCCACTTGTGTCCTGTCCTCAATAAAGGCCAATAAATGGCCTCGAACAGTGTTTTGTTTGCTCCTGAAGGCTGTTATGTGCTCTCCCTTTGAGTCCTGAATGCTAAATCCCTTCAGAAAAAAATGAATATATTTACTGGCCCTGGTCTGGTGATTTTCAACATGTATAAAACTGTGTACACCTGCCAGACTTTAAATTGGGTTGAATTAAAAGAGGGGCTGAGATTGAGATGTTGGCACAGTGAGACCATGATGCATCATCCAATCAGGGCAAAAGTCCCGGCGGCCGAGACCGCGGGGTCCAAGCTGTGGCGTCTCCCTCCATCCATCCATCCATCTATCCAGACGGTACCCACTGCGTGCTCTCTAACTGAGCACAAATGTTTTTTTTAAAAATAGTCTTTAATATAAAAACAGTTCCATCGCTGGCAGGAGGGCGGATCAGCACTCTGCGTCCACGCTGTGCACCGTCACCGCCGCCTGCAGGTGGTGCGTGTGCGTGTGCAGCGGGTGGTGGTGCGTGTGCGTGTGCCGGTAGGGGTGGAACTTGTGGCTGAGCAACGCGGCCGTCTGGGGGGGCGTGTCCAGGTCCAGGTCGTCGTCGTGGTTGCCGACGTCCACGCCGGCCGAGAGCGGGTCGTTGTTTCCGGGCGGATTCTCGCTGTCCTCCTGCGGACTCATGGTGCTGTAGCCTGGACACAAAGAAACACGTTGGCGTTACGACATTTCCTATTTTATCATTCTTTCTTCTAGATAAAACCCTGAATGATTCCCTAACCTGAATCTTTTAAATTTGCAAAGCCAGTTGTAACCAAAAGCTTGTTTGTTTCACTCAAATTTACAGCTAGAAACGTCATAATCAGTTGTGCCATTAATCAGAAATAGTTAAGAAACCACAACTTGCTGCCGGTGATACAACAAGTCGTTTTTACTCCCTTAGGATATTTAAATTATTTTTGATATTATTAATCAGGTAAATGTTTTCAGTTCATCACTTGATCTATACAAAGTCTAAAAATAGGAAAAAAACAAACAAACAAAAAAACTATAAAGTTCAGGTGGCAAATTCCAATTTTTGTTTTAAAAAAGTGGTTTATTGATTATTAAAACTGTATTTACTAATATTTTATACACAACTAGGGTCATTAAAAACCTTTAAGTTTGAAATTTTGGTCACAAGCCAGAAATAGCTGCTCTGCTTGAGCCACTTCAAGTAAAACTTTATACTTTTAAAAAACAAAAAGGATTCACTGTTCATTCAGTGGGGGTACAATCACTACACAGAACCTAATGCTTACTGTACATGTGCACCAGTTTGGTACAGCTGCCTTGCACTGATTGAACAAAAATGAGAAGATCTCACAAAAGCAACACTTCGGCAAATGACACCCTCCGGACATTCGTCACATTCATGTGAATACACAGTAACTCATAATGTTTCTGAAAGCAGCACAAGCTGCTTGATGGCACGCTGACAACCAAACATCGCCTTTAGACATTTTTTTTTTTACTTATGTTTTCAGCTTTTTCATACAATATAAAACAAAGATGCATACATATTTATTACCACGTCCCTACACATCTTGCACATACGTTTAGCCCGAGGAGACAGAGACGTGAGCCAACATGGCTGTTAGGATACAATGGTAACTGGAGCAGTGGGAGGGCAGAGCTGCTGTCGTATAGAAAATGGATTACTGGGTCAGGGGATAAGCAAACACAGAATAAACTTTGTGAAAGAAAATGTAATGATGGTAAATGTTTCTTGTTGACTTCTAAAATGCCGATACATACCATTAGACCTACATTCTGATTTTGTGACAGTTACACTCACAAATCAAGTGCTTTGATGGTTTTCATCTTGCTTAATAAATGTTCCAGCAGCTAATTTAACAAAAAAAACCTCATAGGTTCACTGAGTTTCCTGCATTTTTCACTTAAATGCAAAGCTTTGCATAGACCTCTTTATATACTGAGTGGGTTTCACCACCTTCAGGCTCATGAAATCCATCTGAAACACAAGAGTGCAACTGGAAAAAAATTATTTCGGAGTTGATTTCAAAATGAGCCCATTTTCTTGAATTCCTTTATCACCATCTTTTATGGCTGCTGGAACGACACCAGCGACGAGCTGCATGACGGAACATCAATCTGTTACTGCTGCTCGAGCAAATAACCCTTTAAGCCCGAGTGCGTCGATGATTATATTTATAGAAAAAAATCGCTGTCATTTTGGATGATGAAACATTAAACCTCCACAGACCGTGAACCAAGTGATTCGAGAGCACGTGTGTGCATCTGTGGCATGCAGGCTGAAGGCAGCAGGTCGGTGTGGCCCCCGTGTTAAATTTATCCTCCCGACAACATTTCCCGTCCTACAAACTGTTCGACGTTTAACTGGTCGATGAACCAGCATGTGAACATATCTGATTTGGCTGTGACGGTTCATGTTCTACCTGCAGAAACCCTGTTTAGTAACAACTCCAGGCCAGAGCCAAAGTATTCACAGAGTCCTGACAGTCTACAGCCATGCAGGCAGCTAGTAACGCTAGATGGTTGGACACGGTCGAGCTTTGAGATGAATGTTAATGTGATGTTGCTAAGCAGCATGTTTTGTTTACTGCGTTCATCTTAGTTTCGCGTGTTTGCATGGCAGCACTGAACACATGGTGCAGTACAGGGTGAGGTGAAGTATTTAAATGAGGATGTAAAGTAACCAGATCACCAAATGTATGTAAAGTAAGTGGATCACCGACTTCATGACAATTTAATGGCGACCCACGCAACAGCTGCTGAGCCATGTAAGAGGGAATGTACATGATTTCATGTGTGTAGCTGCTGAGATAGAGCAGTCTGGACAGAAATGGGAGACAGACCGACTGAGAAAAGAGCTAACAGCAATTATTCATTAGCTTTTATTCTTCCTGTCATGGTTAGTACTGTATGTCCTGTGATATATCGTTCCATTATGAAGCGTAATGTACTGTCTGTCCCACTGTGAGGGGGTGATGGAAGAAATATTCAGACCCTCAGAAGTACCAATACAGCAATGTAAAAATATTCCATTATTAAAAAGTAAAAATCCTGCCTGGGTAAAAGCATTGTGCAGGAAAATGTGGTTAAAGTATTGAAGTGAAAGTATTGGCTCAGTGCCTCTGATTGATATATTATTATATATGAAATGATTAGATTAGTAATAGTGAAGTATCAGTGTGTCAGCAGGACGTTACTGTTGTAGCTGCTGCAGGTTTCAAAGCAATCTGAGGGCTCATCATATGATTAATACGAGAGAGAAGATGAAAAAAAACAAAGCTCAGATACAAAAATCAGTCTTCAGTTTTTGGACTTTTTCCTCTAACCTTTGATTTTTGGTGTGATATTGGATCGTTTGAACATTTGCTGAAATTAAACCATGTGGGACTTCTAGAGGGAAAATCAGCATTTGGTGGAGCTGTTAACACCTCACTGACACCTGAAATGTGACCCCGACTACACGCTGCGTTTAGTAAGACGACAGAAACCAAAAAGGTTGGAAATCATTTGTTTAAACTGCACCAATGTGTAAAATCATCATCTTAAAAGCATCCAAAGCTGTCAAGTAAATGAGGTAGACGAAAAAGTGGAATGCTTCCTTCTGAAATGTGATGAAATGGAAGAATAATTCAAATGGAAATAATCAAGCAAAGTCGAAGCATCTTAAAAGTGGAATGAAGTACAGTCATTGAGCAGATGTACTTTCCATCATGTATCATGTCCTATAAGGCAAAGTCATGAACGCCTCACTGAGGTGTCCTAAAATCCCTCACTGGAGGGAAGTTTCCTCGCACATTTCCTTCCCTGATCCTCCAAAGATTAGCTGGGCTTTGATACCAAACGACAGCGAGCAGACAAAGAAAATGAGAGACAGAAGAAAGAGCAGAGGGACTAGAGCAACGGAGACAGCGATGGGGGGAGGAAGACCGAGCACAGGGGAGAGGAAGAGAGGGATTAAACCAAATGAAGGGATGGAGACATCAAAGAAGTTCCTGACATGGAAGGTGCCAAGTTCTGCACAGTTTATCCCTGTTTTCCCCAAAGCAAGAGCCGGAGTTTCAGGTAAATCTACTGCTAAGTGTGTCCTGTTGACAATTTTCAAGCTGCACCAAGTGACGAAATCAAATCCTCCTTAATGCCAAGAGATGAGGAGAGACGGGGAAAGCTACCATGTTATTGCATCTTGGAAACAGACTTCAAATGTCTTATTTTGACTTTTGAAATGTCTTTAAACAGCTTGAAACAAGACGCGTCTAAATCCTTAAAACAAATCCTGGCAAAGCAGTTGTGTCTCTGAAATACTGAATGACATCGTGACTAGGCTGTCTGTATCGAAAGAAATAGTGGAACAAAAGTGTGCTTATTCGCCTTCATGTTGAGAGTTAGACCAGTAGATTGATGCCTGTTTTATTTCTGGGGCCGTGTTAAGGCCAAATCATGTTCATCTGCAAGTGTCACCAAGGGTAAACATGGCGTACGGTTTGTCCAATTACACGCCGACCCCTCTGTGGACGTCTGAAGGCAGCTCAATATTTGTGACCATGTGAGACCTGTCAACACGGCAAGTTCGCTGACTGCACATGATTTATCTTTCATCCACATCTTTATAATTCATCATTAAAAGAGTTGTGAATGAAGCAGCCCACCTTGGGAGGGGTTCTGATTTATATCTACATGCTTTCCATCTATGGTGTCGGAAGTTCTAAATTCTTCAGATATCGTGTGTTATATCCGCTCTCTGTGCTCGACATACCTCAGGAATAATCACTGGCACAGCGATACAGCCTAATCTGTGAGTAGCTGCTGTATGTAAAAAGTCTCAGACTGATGTGTCCCTATGGTAGTATGAGTAGAGTCGCATGAGTGTCCGGTTTCAAAGTCCACATTGGTCAAGCAGAACCATGACTTAGCCTTTTTACTTTCTGCTTCTGTAAGGATCTGCGAGAAATTTAATTCCTCATCGATCCAAGTGTACATAGACCCCTCTGCATCCAGCCCAGAATTTTAGTCTGCGCATGTGGGGCTCCAAGCGGACTAGAAAGTATTACAAGGCAATGCTATACTTTTTGCATCCGTTAGTACTTAAGATTCCATGGACTTACGCATACAGACCACAATTTTGGCTGTAGGGGTGCAGTGTGCATCCTCGTAGTGTGTAAGCACAGATACAACCTACTGCGCAAGTATGGAATAAAGTCCTGCAATTTAATTCCAGCAGACCAGCAAAGTAGCATGAGCCCACTGGTATGCTTTCTATGGATGGTGCTACAAGAGCAATTAGTGCACATACGCAGAATATGGTGGTATGACCTACTGCATAGAAATGTTGCCGATTCCTCCAAGTGGACGCCTGCAGGCTAAAAAAGTAGCATAATAGCAACAATTACGCGTCCATGGTGGCGAAGCTGTCCATTTGTGTGTTCACAAGTGAGTTAAGCTACTGCAAGCTGCTAATTAGCTTAGCTTTGTGTGAAGAGTGGACACGGGGGAAAAGCGTTAGCACGCAACTGTTAAAAAATGTTAAAATAAAATCCTATTAACGAACACAATGTACCTTGTTTTATTGATATACACATAAATCTAAGGAAAATAATGTAAATTTGGATGTTTTTATGGAGATTGTGTGCAATACTACTGTATTTCTTGTTGAAGCATAGTGATTAACTAAGCTAAGCTAACAGGCTGCTAGCTGTACAGGTACATTCAGTGTAGAAACAGGAGTATAAGCTTCTCCTCTAACTCTTGGCTTTTACTGAAGTGTATTTTTACAATGTAAATATCTTTAGTATATTTAATAAAATATAGAAATCCGGAAAACATATACACAAATCTATTCAATACCAATCCTCCTTTGATTTTTTTTTTTTATAATTTGGAGTTTAACGTTGCTCACAGGCCAACATCTTCCAGCTGGTTTCCAAGAGAAACCCTTACACAGTGATTCTTGAAGTCTTTTGCACAAAATACCATTCAAATATAATAACACCTGTCTCCACTCTCAAGATATTAATTATACTGTATGTAGTGCTTTTCATGTATATATACAATCTCTAAAATAGTAGGGTATGTGGATTAAAGGAGGAGATTATATGTCTGTATGCAGTATTCATTATTAAATGGGTGGTTCTAGCTCTTGCCTGGAAGCTAATGCAGCTCAAACCAGCGCCGCCGAACAACTCACAGTCTGTGTGCGTCACTCACTTAATAGACTTAATGCTCTGATGTTTTTCGGTGATCTGCATGTAGCCTGTGTGTGTGTGTGTGTGTTTTATCATACCCTTCAGCGATATGAGTAAGTGAACAGTGGTAGGAGGGCACCTTTGACCGAGCGGAGAGGAGCAGCAACTTTGAAGCATCAACTTAGTAATGAATTTGTTTTAATCCCTGCCGGACTAACACCCCCTCTTTCCATTATTGCAAACTCCTCTTCCTCTCTGTCCCTGTCCTCTTGCCCTTGCATTTCACTTATTTCCCTTCTTTCGTCATGTTTGCATCTCTCCACCTCCCCACTTGTCCTCCATTTTTTCTTTTTTGCGAACTCCCATCCCCAGTTGTGCAACATTTCCTTTTCTATTTATCTAGAATGACGTATTAGAGGTCCCTCTGAATCGCTGTTATGTTCTCTCTGAATTCAGATGTCCTGAATAAATGAACATGTTTGATATTCCTTAAATTTTGCTTCAAAAACCAGCTGCGTGAAAGCAGTTTCTTTTATATTTAGGGGTTATCCTGAGTTAATCGGTACTGTAAAACACATTCAACTGTACGGAGGACGGAAAACTCTAGAATCCCTGAAGAACTCATCTTCCTAATAAAACTCATTTTCTCTGTTTCTCCTTCCATACTGTATGTCAGTTGACAAGCTGCTGCTGCTTTGTTTCATTTTAAGCCCACTCTCCTCTCTTCATGTTCGTCGTTGTTCTCATAATCAGTTATGCAACAAGTAAAAGAGATACTCATTGCCAGGAAGTGGAGTGATGCCATATGTAGGTGGTAAGAGCCCACGTGGGTGAAACTGTCCATCCACATCGAGTGTCAGACTCGCAAGTTCTACAAATGTTTAACAGTGAACATGAGCAACTCTTCTTCCAGAGCTTGAGAGGAGAGAAAACAAGGTGCAGAGCTGTGATATAATGAAAAAGAACAAGCCGGGAACAGCTGAACCGCTGCCAAAGAACACAGAGCGAACTGTAGATCTGAGCTGTAGCATTCAAAAAAAGGACAGATTCATCTTAAAATATGATACATAAACCCTAAATATGACTGCTGACAATGCTGCTAATACTAATCTTGTTACGGATTTATGTTCTATTTAGCACTAAAGGGTTTCAAAAGATCCAGATTTTGCTGAATATAAACTCATAAAACTCTTACACTGGGTCACGGTGTGTCAGACACGTAACACAGACATTCTTTATCCGACATCTTTCAACTCTTCCCAGAGAGTCCTGAGGTGTTTCCAAGCCAAGTGGGATATGTAATCCCTTCAGCATTCTCTGGCTCTACCCCAGGGGTCTCCTCCCAGACAGCCATGTTCAGAAAGCTTCCTGATTATATCCCTAAGCCTTAACTGCCTCCTTTAAACACAAAGGACCAGTGGCTCCAGTCAAAGATCCCCCAGAATCTGTGAGCTCCCCACCCTGTACTTGATAATAACGCAGACAACCTGCCCTTCTCTTCTTGAGCGGTACAGACAAAGGAGAGCCCCACTCTTAATCCAGGAGTTTATTTTGGAGCTATTTTTGTGTGTAGAGGTGGTGATGGATCTATATGGTTGTGTTAATACTCTTATTCCAATTTTGCAGTTATCCCGGTGCCTCTGACGTCTCTGCTGGAGGCTACATTTCAGCCTGAATCATGCGGTTAACACTTACTAGTATTCTAAGATGTGCAGGGTGCGCCAGTTTTGTGACAAATAAATTAGTCATTTTTTCACAAACCGCATTATTTTTAGACTAAACTATTTGTTGGCAAGACTAACGTGGAATGAAGACAAATATCTCGATTTGTCATTAGTACTTCTTACAGAACACCCACTGAATGTCCTCGACCACCGCGGTGACGGAGCTGGACCGGAAACTTTCAACCTCCTGACACGCATGTCGCGATTTGTGAGAAACGGGATCGTCAGCTTTGTTTGGACGCAGCGTTACTTGAGCAGCAGCAGTGATGTATTTTCAAACACGACACTGTGAATGTAACGCATCATCATACGTTCTTGTGATTCTCTGATGTCTTACCGTGGTCACTCTCCGTCCCAGATCGACCCCAGTACCTCCGTCTCCGCTCAGGAGTGTGAGTGTGTCTCTCGATCACCGCCGCTATGAATCTGGTGTTACTGACTGGAAGCAAAGAGAGCACAAAGGTCGGCAACGACACTCTGCATCTGTGCAGCAATCGGCTGCTGTCAAATGCTAACTTCACACTTCCTAAATGTGTTGCAGCTTGCTGCGGAGGAAACTTAGATCAATGAGCTAACAGACAACACTTACTGATTCCTCTGTCTTCATGGCTGTCTTCATCCCTCTCGTCTCTTTCGTTATCAAGGTTGGACATTCTCACTGACATTTCTGGAGCGTCACGGAGGCAAAGAGGAAGGGAGGAAGATTAAGAATAATGCCAAAATGAGACGGATGATGCTGTTATGCTATGTGAAGGATTGCAAACACAACAAGCAGGAATAATATTTGAAGAGCTTATGTGAACAAAACCAAAAACAAGAGCAGTGGATATCTGTGTGAAAGGTAACCTGAGGAAACGTTTAGCTCTGTAAACGGGGCTCAGATTCTGCAGACAGTTTAATGTAGTTTTAACTTTGAATACTTTTGCAATCACACAAATCTGAGTATTGCAACTTTATGAGCCAATCGCTCAATCTGATACCTTGTGACAATGCAGCCACACTGTCCACCATCTATTTTAAGTTGTTTACCAAACCGTCAGACTAAAAGTGTCTTGGAATGAACAGTTTTAATGAGGTTGTAATCTTGTTTGATGTTTTCGTCAATATGGCTGAGTAATTACACAAATCATGCTGCAGCAGCTGATGCTGTGTTGATGCTAATGTCAGCTGTTTAGCTCCAAACGCACTTGCCACAGCGCTTGTTAATCACAGTGCTTTAAGACTTTGTCTCTTTCTGTGGCTTTTATAAAAAAGGCAGCACATGGTGATACAATACAGACCAACCAGAGGCATACAGATGGCAGGAAGAATGTACTGCAAAAGAAACTGTGCGGAGTAACTAATGTGCTTTAATTACATTTTTTCTTCAATTACAGTCTACTGTAAGTTTCACCACAGCTCCAATAAGGGTTTGTGTTTGTAAAATAAACATTTAAATCCCTCGCATTCATCAGTCCTACCCTGTGCAGCCAGCGGTGACATGTGCTGGTGTGAGCGCCTGTGGATCTGATGTCTGTATGCATAGACAGCCAGGACCAGCACCATGATGCATCCCATAATGCCCCCAGCAACCGGACCCACAGGGGCGCTCTTGATCATGTTCAAAGACGCCACCTCCTCATCTGCAGAAGAAAGCAAGAGGAAGAAAGTAGATAAAAAAAAAGGAGAGGCAGAAGGTTGTTTAAAGGATTTCAGATGGCTCAAGAAGAGACAATACAACGAGCCAGTATCAAACAGCTCGGGCTCAGATCCCGACTCCTGCTGCGACGCTGGTACATTTTCTGCTTCTATTCTCTCATCAGTGTGAAATGCAACCAAAAAATTATTCAGCTTCAGGCAGAGGGCCCATTATACTTTTTTTTTAAAAGCTGATAACAGAGAGAAAAATCACCTAGCAACAGGAAAGTTTTAGAAAAAAAAAAGTTTCAGAAATATGACGAGGTAACACTTGTACTGTCCCACGGATGCAGAAATTCACTTCTTTTGTTGTTGCTCGTTTTTCTTTACTCTCCTGCCTGACAAGAAACACTGCAGTGCATCTAAGAGAAACATTGAATACTAATGAAATTCAACATTTCTAAAGCACTAAAATATAGTTAATGTGTTAAAGATATTTAAAAAAATCTAAATATTTACAAAGGAAAGGATCAATCTGATCCATTTCTCTGGGGTCAGCGTCTTACCTAGAAGTCCCAGGCCATCGGCGTAGGGACTCTTGGCACCCACGATGCCCCCAAAACACTCCTTCTGCAGGGCGCAGTACGGCTTGTCGAGGTGAGTCTTACCATCGCTGTCCACCATGCACCACTCGCAGTCCAGCACGCCGAAACAGTCGCTGAAACATGGTGCAGAATACAGGCGTCAAAATGAGATTCTTACTGAGCAGATTTTTAGTTTAGAGTTCTATTTAGGGACGGGGCAGTGACAAAAGGTTCCAGTCAAATTTCTGAATACTGCTCAGAAAAGAAAGTCCATCTCTCTGAATCTGATAAGTTCATTTTACTGAAATCTGAAACTGGGAACTGTATCGTTATTGTACATGGATAAAACATTTTAAACACTTGTATTTCTCTAACAGTACATTACAGTGTAATTTGTATTGCAACACACAGCATCAGGTTGCCAGGATAAACTTGACGTAAAATAATAAAATGCTTTGAGATTTAATCTATTCTGTAATTAAAGATTTGAGCCCTCTACTTACACTTCCTAATACTACCACTGGGTGGCAGTGTGCTCTCAATGTGAATCCATACCAGTGTCATGGTCTGACCTATAGCTTGACTGTAAATGCATCCTCATGGTAAATGTATGCGTCTGCTGGTAAACGCCTCGATAAGACTGTGTTGACATACGTTTAACACATGTGCTGCTTTGTTCATTGTGCTTGTTGATATGCACTAAACATGCACAGCTGAGCGTGCGTACCTGCTGGTGTATCTCTGGCTGCAGCGGGTGTTGATACACTGGGGCAGGGTGTCGTGCAAACTGGGATCAATCACATTCAGGCTGACTGGCTCTTGATGCACCTCACAGCTGGGGTTCCTGTACAACACACACACAAGGTGGAACTATAGACGGGTGCGAGATACATTTTGCGGGGTCAAAATACAAACGACAGGCAACATCCATCCAAATCCTAGCGTGAAATATGATTACGTTCAACAAAAGCATATACAGTAAAACCGACATAAAAATAAAGAAAAGAAAAAAATCAAAAGCTGAGCACACAAAGTAGCATGTCGATGCATGCAAAGCAGCTCTGAAGAGACAAACATCGATGCTGCCTGACACGGAACACAGAGAGAAAACTGACAGGGAAAAATGGTAATTGCATGTCTTTCCTGAAATAAAGGAAGAATTGGCATTCGGAACATTGACATGCTGTCAAAGGCTGCTTGATGGCTGATGAAAGGAGGTGGGTGAAACAAGAGCGAGATGTGAGAAACACAGCGGATGATGGACAGATGCAGAGTGGCTTAAACACTAAAGGAAACGAGTGGGACAGACGGAGCAAGGTAGTAGGATAGTGGGAGAGAAATAAAAGTGAGGAAACACCCACAAACGCTGACACAGGAAGAAGCAGCAGCAAACAAGCTAACAAAATGTTGGGAAGGACAAACACATGCCCACATCATCATGACAGGAGTATGAAAGAGACCTGCCAGCTTGAAAATACAGCATGTAGGTGCATTTTAAGACACCACGATCAAGAAATTACTTTTACAAACACTTCATCTGAAACTCGCTCAGTGCTCGATAGTGCTGACAGCAAAGAACAAAATGTTAATTTTATGTCAAAGATCTTGCACATTACTCAAAATTTGAATATTTACACTGGTATTATAATTAATCATTAGTCGTTTACGGCAAAATGTGACTATGAATAAAAATGCTGCGATGTTCACGCTTCGCATGCCTCCTCTTAGCATTCATAAGAAACACCCTCAGTGCAGAATTGAACACAGTTAAATAAAAAGATTAACTGACAGTAGCGTTCGCCTGAATAACGGTTAAGAACTCCTGATCACATCTTTTCTAGTTTTTCCTCAGAGTTCATGTAATTTATTATGTAGACGCCGTCTCTGCCTGGGGTGTGACTGAAAACTCTGCACAAAAATATTCAGAAAAAGCAGCTAGGCTACAAAAATCTTTAATTTTCAGATATTTGCAGACAGTAGAAGCCATTTGCTCCTTTGCATTGATTTTCAGATCCAAAGAGTGCGAGTCATGACTTTCCTCTGGCCTTTTAAATAAGCTAAGAAAAAAAATAAAAAATCAAGCATGATCTAAAAAGTAACCGCCATCCAAAAACAATCCGAGCCATTAAAAAGTTTCGCCCAAGAAGCGATTAAGCTCAACCCTGAGGTCAGTGGCAAGAAGGCTTTTTACCAACTACTTCCTCAACACTGTAGCGCCTCAGGGGCTAAATGTGCTCTTTTCTGGGTATCTCACTGCTCTGCATTAACTGGGTGCTCCCTGATCCCTGTCATGTATCCAAGCTGATAGATGTCAGATATTGTGCAAACTCATCTTGTGCAATGTTCTATGTTAATATGGCATTTAAAAAAAAAAAGCCTCATTATCTGTTGTAATCTCTCTCTGCTGTAATTTGTGTTTGTGTCTAATATCCCTTTCCAGAACATTTAAGGACACAGTGTTGTGGCGCTCCAGTATTGTTTGTGCTTTAGACATAGTACCGACCTGTTCTCAGCATTGGTGAGGTTTCCTGTGCACTCATTGACCTCCAGAGGGCACTCACATGGACACTCGCACTCATTCTGCTCCATTCTGAACAACACAAACAGTTACAGTGCATGTCAGCGCGACACATCGTTGTCACGGTATAGATTATAGCAGATAACAATTATTCTGTTATATTTCTAATCAAAGTAACTTCTCTGCCTATTTAAAACCCACTGTGTGGCCTCTAAACTTCTAGAAACATACAGTTAACTTGTTGTTACTCATCAGACTGTACATTTTAAACACAGTTCTCTGCTGCTGCTGCGTCACACTTATCAAGTTCTGAACCTTAACTATTCTTTAATTGGTTGACTTCAAAATCATTTTTAACAGGGGTCTCGTCTTACATCTGCAAAGCTAAACACTATCTCTCAGTAGCGTTCTGTTTTAGTAAAGACCTGTGGCAGTTGAGGCAGAGCCGGTCCACCGTGCTGCAGGCGCAGAACGCCAGAGAATCACACGTCTCATTGACGATACCGGCAAAGGCGTTGGTGCCAGGGATTCTGGTCAGGCGGTATTTGGAACAGTGGCTGCCATGGACCAGGTTGGTGAGATCGCCCTGAAGGAATAAAGTTAGGAGAGGTCAGAGTGAGAAGTGCATCATTGTATCAGTACTTTATAATTGCGTATATATATGTTGCATGTGTATTAAATGTTCAATCTGACTAGACATCTTCGTATAAAATTAAATGAGCTTCATAGAGAAACTTAGACCAGGTTTGTGATAGTAATCTTAACCGCATCTTTATAATCTAAGCATGGGCATGAAACAAAGACGAACTATCCACTACAGTTTCAACATTATCACAATAAAAGGGAAACTGAAGGTTGCAACACTGAGTATCACCACTAGATAGCAGTGTTACACTATTAGATAATCTCACGCTGCTTAGACGTCTTGAAAAGTGTCGGCTTGCTGCAGAGTACGACAGCCTGAATCTGTCTCCTTCGAAACCATTCAGACATCTTATGTTTTTCCTGACGTACCACTATGCTGGTGTTGAACTTGTAGAAGCGCTGCACCGTGCGGTCACTGAAGCTGTTGCAAAGGTTTTTCTTCACAAAGTTGGGGTGGTTCAGGATGTCATTGGCCACGAGTGGCTCCTGCCAACAAAAAGCCAGGATGACAAAGCAGATGATTAGAAATACAGATATAGAAAGAGGAGGACAGATTTCAATACAGTTCTACACAACACATTGCTCCTGAAAGCTCTTGAAGTGTACATTTACAGTCGTTTGTTTAGGGATAAGAATGAGCCTGTTTTCGTGGGTAAATGTTTTTTCTAGTTTGTTATAGAAAGTAATGAAAAATCATTTGTGAGTAATTTATTAGAAAGTACTGAACATGTGTGCTGGTAAAAGACATGTTTACTGTGAGCTTTTCCAGTTGTGTTGTTTGTATTTGTAAAACAGACAGCTTGATTTATATTCACTGTTGTCTGTATATGTGGCTGTGACTTGTACATCGTTTATTAGCCTTGGGTCTTTTACCTTGTGTGTGATGTGCTGCTGCTCTGCAGGGGCATGACCTTTGGGGTCAATCAGAGTCGGGTGAGCGACCAGGTAGCCTCTGTCCTCCATTATGAAGCACCTACAATGTAAACAAATAAATATGGCAATCAATTTAGAACATACATTTTTGTAGTCATATCAGCACTATCACAAACCATTTGTCAGATCCCTCTTTCTCCCTAGTTTCATGCTCAGCATCATCTCTCTGCATAATACAGCTCCATTCTACTTCCCACCACTGCTTAACTATTTTGCCAAATACTGCTTCTCACTGTCCTATAGGCCTTTTGGGCTAATCCTGTTTTACAAGGCCTCTGGACACCAACGGAGAGAGCATGAAGGAAGTGAAGAGAGAGAAAGGCTAGACAGACAAGGGAAGAAGTGGAGATTTTTTTTGGAGAAGAGGGTGGAAGAAAAAGGATGAAGAAAACAAAAGGGGAGACATAAAAGCTGGAGAAAATGTGTAGGATTGAGGCAACAGCAACGCCACATCTCCAGCAGGAATGTCGTGATAATCAGCTTATGTCTTCCTCTTTTTTTTGCCCCCGTTCTCAGTCTATAAGCAAGTTTAATTCTTGCTCAGTAAAACAGAAATGTATTGATGAAATTCAAGGGGAAATGGAAGAAAGAAAGTGAAAAAGAGCTGACAGCCTTCTTCCTACCTGATCTTGTTGCCTTTGTCCTGGTTGCAGATGGGCAGCAGGTCCAATAGGACCTTATAGAAGTAGCGAAGCGTGAAGTCGATACCCATCACTGCAACAGCATATCCAGGGGCCATCTGAGAGCTGCAGACGGAGCACAAGATGCACAGGAAAATGCATCAAAGGGATCATAAATCTGAGAAACTTTTGAGCCAAACTTTCCTGATTGTGTAGTAAGGTGTATGCTGACTACTTTTCTACAGACCTTTATGGAAAAACCTAAATGTTTGGGGATAAAAAAAAATGCAAATTACACAGAAAATGCTTCACGCACAAGCATCTGCAGGTTCTCTTGAAATCTGTGTTTACTACAGACTGTATGTTACGCTCACTGAGCTAGTGTACAACAGCATCGTAATCCAGACTTATCACACACACTGATACTGAGTGTTTGTGTACATACTGAACTCTTGCATGGGCCGTGGTAAACAGTTGTTATTGTAACGCTGAGAGCAGCGTAACGGCCATCGTGGTGAGTCGTACTTTAATGTCACTGAACTAGAAACAAATGCTTGCAGCCTTCTCACAGCCATCAAGCATTTTGCAATCACATCTGTGGTAACTGAGCCAAAGGACAGAGTCCAACACTGACATTTGTAATTTGGCTTTTCCTCCTCCGCACAACCAGGAGTTGGTAGCGGACACTGACTTGCTCGAGGGCACTTTGGAAGAGCAGATACTTGAAGATAATTGTGACTGAACCCAGACCATTTGGTTGAAGGATATCATGTCACTGACTAAACAGCCCTGAAGCAAAAATGGTCAATGGCCTCCTTTAGTTTCCCTCAAATTATTTCCTGTCTTCAGAGATGGTGCAGTCTGGCTGAAATGACTTCTGGGCTGAGAGCCTGGCTGCCCGCAATGATGTCTTGGCTCGTAACAACTGTGAATCTGTTGAGCAGTATCTAATAAGAAAAGCTGATAATTTTATTGCCAAGGTGTAAAGATTCACAGAAATTTGTCAATCATTAAATGCAAGTGAGTATTTCTATGAAACAGATAGATGAGGAAGCAGACTCTGCCTCGGGTGCAGTAAAATATTATCCAATTCACTGTTGGATGAGTACACCCAGAACTCTTACCTGGAGGCATGGATGGTGTGGCTGATGGTGACAACGTAGCCCGCCCCGCCCACATCCAGGTATGGACCCGTGAAGGTGATGAGGCCCGGGTTAGCCACAGCATGCTGGTACCTAGACGACACATGACAGTCAAGAAAGCTATTAGATAAAACTGGAACCATCTTAAACTACATCTACATTAAGTTGTCTACATTTGGAAACACTGTTTTCTCATGTGAAAATGATTTGTCTCCCCATTAGAGATTCATGGTTTCAGCAGAGATCTTTGTCTACAGTGAAACACTTGACCAACAAAACTAAATGAAAACAGATAAAATCTACTGATTCCACCTCTTTTCTATGTTAGCATTTAAAACTTCCACTTAACCTTCATTCCCTGAGCCGCTGTCGTGTTTCCCAGTCAATATGCTTCCTCTTAACTAAACCAGGAAACACTGCTCTTACTAGAGGGAAACACTATATCTTACTTCAACACAAGATCTTTTCCAGTGTTATAAGATTTACACAGAAACTCAGCGTTGGGGGGAGAAAAATGTCTTTTTATTCTAAAATGTGCTCACAAGCCTAATGCGGATGTGTTTTCTGCAAAGTTCTACCATAAATCTTACTTTAAGAAGCTTCCGTAGCCAGCTCATTACTATTCAACACTCTGAGAGAGTCCTACCTGGATTCCACTCAATAAACGCTCAAGACCATCTTTCAGACACACACATTTTCTCTTTAACTCCTACTTACCCAAAACTATCTCAGACTTCCTTTTTCTCCCCCAAAACACACATGTACACACACGCCTTCGCTCCTTTCTCCTCCTCCCCCCCTCCTCCCCTCTTCACACCCTCCAGAGTAAGCCTCACCATTGTCTGCGGGTCGGGTCGAAGGCTTTGTCCATCAGTGATCCTGGGTAAATCCGGAGCACCCCACTGGGCGTTGCTATGTAACGGCGCACAATGTAGCAGTTGAGGCTACTCATTTCCATTAGTGTCATCCACTCATCCGTGACATGACTGGTTGCCATAACCTCGTTCCTGACAGAGGACTGCAGAGGGGAGAGGATGGAGAGAGAGAAAGAGAGAGGGAGGTAGACAGAGAGGGTGGAAAGACACAGTGATAGAAGTAGGCAAAGAGAAGAGGAAAAAAAGTTTAATCTGGAGTTGGCTTTAAAGTAAGTTGGATGAAACTTTTTGCTTGCAGCCAACCCACAAACAAAACAGAAAAACTTAAATCCCGTTAAATGAAACAGGCACAACAGTACGTGTCTACGCTGCATCTTAAATGGAAATTATTAAATTCTATCCCTGCTAAAGAGAGCATGAAGTGTGATCAAGAAATCAGAAACCCCACATTTAGAGATTAATGCGACTTGATTAGCCCCAAAGCTCTGCAGAAATCACATCCCAGAACCATTTTCAGACAAGCATCTAAGTTTGAAAGGGGTGATGAGGTCACTGGAGGGGGTCTTTAAGACTAGCCTGGGAATCGGCGCTGAGACTGGGGTTTGGAGTTCAAACTCTAACTCCCCCCAGGACAGGAATGCACACAGAATGCCAAAACCCATGTGGGGGTTTGTCCCCTTCTTAAAGATGCAGAACATCATTTGAATTTTGTTGAATTTCACATGTAATGTAAGGAGCCTGAAAAGCTTGACATGTGTGCCAGATGTTGGAAGAAATGTCAAAAAAAAGACTTCCAAGAACTCATGAGTTAAAAAAATCCAGTAAAGCACCAAGGGTATCGTACAGAGACACATTGATGGTGTTTGTACGATGTATTTAAGCGACAATATTTGCTAACAGTTTGAATCCTTTCTGTCATGTAAACAAGATTCAGGCTAATCTTTGCTGTGAGTTGCATGCGTGTTCCCAGGCTTTTGTGCTTGTGTACCTTGAGGCCTGGGTTGGCTATGAGCCTGGTGTTATCACTCAGGTAGGCAGTGTAGTGTTCCACCATACGCTTTGTTTCTGGCTGACTGAGGTGCTCATAGGGAGAAGAGAAACTACCAGCTGCCAACATCACAGTGGGGGACTCTGGGAAAGAGACAGAAAATGGAAAGAGGCACAGTCAAGAGTTGCTAATCAATGTTTTAGAGCTGAATATGGGTAAAAAAAAATACAGTTATTTATTCATGTTATCATATGTTTGTCGATGTCTGTAGATTCTGGCACTTCTCCTACCGACGGTGGCGAGCTGTTTGAAGTGCAGGCAGGAGCTGGGCTGACCCAGCAGGTCTAGACGATGGTACAGCAGCTTGGAGCTGGGAGCCGTGTTCAGGTTCTTCAGCTGCTTCACTGGAATCTCTGGCTGCACGTAAACGATGCACAGGATGAAAGACGTGTCTTGAACCTGGAGGACAACAAAAGGAGAGAATGGAGATTAATTCATATTTCATACTGAAGGATCCGCCTGATGATATTCAGTATTTGTCCTATTCTCAATAAATCTGAATAAAAGACCAATACGTTAGTGTGTGCCTTGATACTTTACAACTTCTCAAACTCATCTGAGGCTGCCAGTCATCAGCTTCTTCATCCTTCTGATGATTTAAATGGTTTCGGCTCCCAAATGCATAGTTTTGTTCTAAAAGAAGAATTTCCTTAAACTGCTGAGCGCTGTGCTTTTTGGAAAGCTGCTGTTCAAACAGCGGCGAAGAGTGCATTTGTCGGGCAATATTTTTAGCTGCGGTGCTAGCGGGATTGATTTGAAATAAACTACACTGTTATTGAAATAGAGATATAGGTCACCCAGTGCTGCAATTTGCAACGTGTGCTCACTGTTGTCTTTGGTCATCAATAGAGCAGTGCAACACACAGGAAAAACCTATACTGGGATTCGCCTGCTAATACGTAGAGGGATCAATTCATTGTTGGTTTTAGTCTTTCTATAGGATTAGCTGACTGAAAAACATGTAGAATATGAGCTGCTTTATTATCCAACATCTACATGACAATGCTACAGAATGCAAAGCGGGTAAGTAGGGGTTACCTTCGGCACATTTTTCTGGCAGGTGATCTCTTTGGTCTGATACCTTTTGTCAACAAAACACAGTGTTGACAGAGTTTATAGACTCCACTCGAACAGCATTCAAATTAATAGCGATGAGAGTCTGAGAATGTGGCACCACCCATCTCTAATAGCGCCCTGTTTCAGTGTTTACTGTCAGCCATCACAGCCTGTGTTTTATGGGCCTCAGGCGAAGATAAATGTGCCCGGTTTAACAACTGCTTTCACCACACCGGTTCTAAATGAACCCTGCAGGGCCAGTAGTTAGTTGACTTAGTTGATAAATCATGCAAACTGCAAAATATGTGACAAATAGCTTTCAGAAAGATTTACAATGTTCTGGTAATTCGGAAGAACCTTAGCATCACATTTTGAAGACACATTTATGTTTTAAGTCTGTTTATAAGCACAAATACTAACAACAGATATACTTTTAAAGGGGTCCCCTGGACATTACTTGTCCAGCAAAGTACAGAATGATGTGGAAACTTCATTGTTGCTTTCTAGGTCATTTACCCCTTTTCTGGCTCTGTAAAGCTCATTTTAAAAAACATACAGCTGCCAAACTCATGGCAAAGGTGACGTGTTTGAACTCTCGCGCCTGTGCGAAAAAAAAACTAAATGTCAAAAGCGTTTTAAAAAAAGGCCAAAATGAAATGCCTAAATTAAGTGTGATATTTCAGCTCCTGCCAAAAATTCTAAATGTCAGAAAGCAAAAAAGACTCGTGATGTTATTGCTGTGCTGTTGCCATTTGTTCCTAAAACATGACACTTCTGGGTCTGAGAGGAAAAGCAGATCGGAGGGATAGACAGATTCTGGGTGTGGGAGCGCTTGGTTTTTATTACGTCGACTCATTTAAGGCGGTCGGGGTTTGGTAGGGATGTAAAGACATAGAGGAAGCATGAATCTCTGAACTGCTTTTAGACACCAGTACAGTAATGATAAAGAGCTTTAAACAGAGAGCGAAGAGACGGAAAGAAAAGTAAATGAAATCGTTTTTGTTCCACCACCATAATGGCTCCATGGACCAGAGCCAACGACTGACTGCAAGCACTTGTGTTGCCTCAGAAGTACGATCCTTTTGCTTATACTTACTCAGGCCCGCTGGCATTGAAATGAAAATGAAGTATTCTCTGGCAACAAATTATTGAATTCTGTTGCATCATTTGTTTGACTCTGTATTTGCATCGTTTTTTTTTTCCTTTTTAGTAAACATCAGAATTATGCAGACAATAAATGAAAGATGCTGTGTGTACTATAGAAGGACTTCTAAATAGCATTCAAGTGTATGAAAGTCTATAGGGACACCTACCAGTTTCCAGGCATAGCTGACATTGTATGCATCTTTGCTGTTGTCCCTGAGCCGGTTGGTGTGCCAGGACAGAGAGGAGTTAACTGGCACAGCGATGACCTGACTTCCTAAAGGGAGGCTGCAAAAAAGAAATACACCATAAGTCAAAAAAATACACAAAATCTGTGTCCATAGCTGCAAGAATTCAATTTTTTAATGGTTTTTCAAGCCAACTCTAAACTTCAAAATGGATTTTAGATTTGACGTAACTGCTATTAATCTTTTTCTTACCTGAGGATGTTCTGTCGGACAGCAGGGAATCCTGGGATATTCTCATAGTGGATGATATCTGTGTGCAGGGGAGGCTCTGTCATGAGGTAGGGCCGCGTTAGGGACGGGTGCATCAGGGTGTAACCTAAGAAATCAAGCAAGTGGTTGCAGCATCATACATATTTTGTGCAACAGTAAAAACAACAGACACAAACCTATTAAGAAAAACAGCATCTGTATGCATGATCAAAAGAGCAACAGCGGGCTATTTGGTGGCTACTGTCAACAAGGTGCTATCAAAGTGCAGTCGCACTGCACAGCTCCCTGTGTCATCGTTACTTTTGCACCAAAATGAAGAATTCTCATTTTAATGCTGGTCTCCATCCAAAAGATCCAACTGCTGAGCTTCTAGCCTTTAAAATGTTCTAAAGGAGCTCAGTGGCAAACAGTTCTCTCTGGTAGTGTTAAGAAGTGTAGTGCTGTGATAAACACCACTCTTAACAGCTGCCGTAATCAGTTTTGGAAGCGCCAAAAAGCTCCCAAGATACTGGTCTAAAAGCCCATCTGTTTTAAAGGGAGTAAACAAACAAAACTGTGTGTTTTTATAAAAAGTTCTAATATACAGTGTATATTTACTAAAAGAAAAACTAACAAAAGTAAAAGTGCACAATCGCTGCAGAAAAGTAGCCACACAAAACAACGTGTGGTGTTTCAGACTTTTTAAGGAGACTCCATCTGCTGCCAGCTTTTTCTTATCCTGTTAACAGTTCGTTACGGTGCACATCATATATTCATCTGTATATAATCCAGCTCTGGAGCAGGTTTGCTTCATTCTGATCAACACATGTAACTTAAAAAAAGTTAAGATACACTAAATGTAAATATTACAAATACAGTCATCTATTTCTGACTCTTCAGTCCGGAAGCCTTTTGTCAGCTGCATACTTAGTTAATTATATTTACCTTAAACTCTAATTGGCAACAGACGATTTGAATGCCTGCTAATAACTTTAATGGGAGTCATTTGTCAATGTTTATGGAGTTGCAGCACTAATAAGCATGGCGCAGTAATAAGCCATAATTTGGCGGCATATTTATTACAATAACAAACACTATAGAGGAGAAAAAAAAAGTCACCGAAAGGCACAGCAAAGGAGCAAAACTCATACAGCTGAATAAATTAACTCGCTATAATTAGCTTTAATAGTGAAAAATTCTGCATTAATTCAACCTTCCAGGTGAGCTGTGTAAATGTCATTTACTCGGCACGTTGTATGACTTTCCCTCAGTCTGCTTCACCTCTCTCCTCCCTCCCACCATCTCTAATTCTTACTGTCAACGCTTAAAGTCTCCCACCTGTCCTTCAGCTTTTTTTTTTTTTAATCCCCCCAATTTCACTCCTGATTAACATAACACTGTCTTCGAGGTCCAAAAAAACAAACACAAATTCTGTGAGTTTATTGTGGCTGCTGTTACCCGTCAACACAGAGAGATAAACCTGCCCTTGTGTTGTCTACTATAACGTTATAAGTAAATTTACCTTTGTGCTTTGTAAAAAATCACATGTTAGGCTTACTGTACTTGGAAAAGGTTGTGCTTTTAAAATTGTGTGTAAACTTGAAGACCTCCAGGACACTAAAAACTCTTTAATTTCCTCACATTCTTGCCATTCCTACTCCTGGCATTGCTCATTTTCACCTCAGCGTTGGCAGTAATCTGCATGCAGTGCACTTTCTGAAAACGGAGCAAGAACTGCAACTGAATGCTGGATCAAGAGCTGAACAACAAAGTCTAAAGTTGCCTCTCCTTTCATCTTCTCCTTCCATTTGTGAAGTCAAATTTCACTGTGTGTTTCTACCAATCTGTAGCTGCAATGCCATCTAGCAGAATCCTGACCATTAAACGTCTCTTCCCTCCAGGCCCACAGAGCACAACCTACCTGTTGTGCAGCTCCAGCAGTTGAGTCAAGACCCCCTCAGCTGAGGCCAAGACAAACCAAGACCGGACACAAGCACTAACTGCCCTGCACTGAGGCAACGTGCTGAGGCATGGCTCAGCAGAGGCTGAAATGCCAAAGAAATGCCACTGCTACCTACAAGACGTCAATTAAGTCTAATAAGGGATAATGGCTGTGGAGGAAGTTGAAACAGACAAAATAAAGTGTAATTCTATTTGTATGTGAAACAAGAACACCAAAATGTGCTTCTCAAAGGCTGTAACTAATAAAGATTGATACCCTGAATAGGCACAGAAATGTTTTGTCGACCGCCGGAGCCTCAGACGTTGCAGGAGCCTTCCTGATTGATGCTCGCTGGGGTTACAAGGCTAGAAATCTAAGCCACGGGCAAAGTGTGGCTTTGATTTGCTCCTCTGTGTTTTGCATAACCTGGCTGAACCGTTAAAACTGTGCATGAAGACAGATTTAAAGCCTCATTTGCAAAATACATCTCCAAACAACACTGCTAATACTGCTGGCCACAAACTTATAGAAACCGTAGCGCCAGATAATCCTGCTTCTTATGGATTCAAGCAGAGGAGTCGGGTGCAAAACGAAGACGTCTGCAGAGTTGACTACTACCCGTGTGTGTGACTGACCTTTGTTGTCGATGAGGAAGGTGTAGGAAGCCAGAGAGTCTTGGTAGTAGGTGACGTCCTCCAAGATGTAGGCCAAGTTCACATCCACGCCGACCACGCCCAGGAGAAGGTTACCAAAGTAACACGGCCGGCTCACGGTCATAATGAACCCTGGAGAAGGACAAACAAGCATCTAAGTAAGGTTCTTGCAACACGTCAGCTTAGTTTGACACACAGAGTATCATCAATGACTTCACTTGAATCAGACAGCTGTCAGCGCTGACCACAATAATCAAAAACGTGTCCTTATCACATCACAATAAGTCGTTTTTTGCACTTTTTGACGTCACATCGGTTTTAAGGATTGCCACAGTGACTTGTTGAATGTTTCAAGCAACAGGCTGCAGTTCTTTTGAACAAGGTAACCAGCTTTACATGCTGCTGTAGTTGATGGAAAAACGTGTGCAGCATTAAAACACGTTATCAGGGGTTATACAAGGGTTAAAGATGTGTAGAGTATCAATAATCAAACGCACTTCAACACACTTTTGTGTTGGAGTTTGTGTTATTCTAAATTTTGTCACCAAGATTTAATTTCTTCTTGCACATTTAAATTTGTCTTCTTGATTACTAATAGTTGTTATTGGTATCAGCCGTGGGGGGAAAAAAAGCCCTAAATCTCATCATGAAATCACAATTACAGCATTTACTGGTACAACTAATAACTACATATGTTGTCAATTTATGACAACTATTACTGAAAGCTTTACGATTATAACTTACTTTGTATTTATTACTACGTAACTGAATTCATGATGAATTATAAATGATAAATAAATAATCATTTGAAGTTGCTCTGAATTGATAAAAGTGTTGCTGATTTGACATCAGTTCGGACTGGAGCTTGTTGTCGGTCCACAACACTCACCGTCTCCCATGGGGTCAGAGTAGGGCAGGCTGAAGCGTGCCAGGTCGATCATTCGATTGGGCAGGTTGATGTAAAAGCGTCCCACTGTCGTCTCCAGGTTGCTCAGCTGGTTCAGCACCATCATGCTGCCCTTCACCACCGGCATCATGGAAACTCCTGCTGATCCAGATGAGGACGCCGCTGACGATCGGTCTCGGTCGGACATTCGGTCGACGCCGTACTTCACTGAGTTCTGCTCCGCAAGGTCCCTCAGGAAGGCCAGCTCCTTCAGGCCTGTAACTCCCTCTGCAGAAGGAGGGAGGGGGCGTGGAGGTTAAGAAAAGAAGATGACGGAATTTGTTTGACTTAATAACACCAGGATATTGAGAACAAATTCACAACTGATGGCTTGCCTACAGGTTTATTGAACAGGATAACTGCAAATAAAAAGAGGACGGAGTGGTTGAAAGTAAGCTTAAACAAGTAAACAACTTTTCACTTCAGAGCACATGACTCAACTCGTGGTTTTCTTTCCCCTCTAGCTGGAAAAATACTATTCCTTCAAGGAGCCAGGAAGGCAGAATCACAGCCCTGCCACCAGGGGCTGAATTCAAATTCAAGTTTGTTTTTAGAACAATTAACCTGATAAAGTTCACGTGGTCAAGCAGCAAAAGACTTGCTTTAAACTGGATCATTGTAAATGCTGCCACATGAATTTCCTAAACTAATTTGGCACCCGCAGCAGAGATATTTCATACATGCAGGCCCTGACTTGTGATCCTACGTCACCATCTCTATAAGCTTCGGCTGTACAAACCCATGCAAACGCCAAACCCAGCTGTCATCTGTCAAGCTCAGAGATCATGACACAAATAAATCCCTCATCTCTTAAAAGAAAATATACAACTGAGATGTTAATGCACACTTCAGACTTTATCTTTCCAAGCCTCATAAGGTCATTTAGAGGAGGATGGATAGCTGTGGCTGGCCCCCACAGCTGTCACCTGGAACATTTGGCATCCCACAATCTATTGGGAAGGATAGAGCAGAATGTCTGCCAGTATCCAATCATTGACTGGATTACAGCAGAATCCCTTTTTAATGCCAAGGCTCTGCTCTTTTGATCACCACGCTGAGCCATAGACGGAGGCAATGTCGCCATGGGTGGCAGTGTCAAATGAACACAAAGTGGAAATTTTGCTGACAGCACAGGAACCTGCTCACTTTTATTTATGAGAGAAGGAAATCTGCTGTTCCTACTGGAATAATGCTTGCAGGAATAATGATTTTGAAATGCCAAATGTTTGAATTTTGGGAAAATGAATGTGTTAAATGCAATAGTTGCATTTACAGTTAGGGTTTCTGTTTAAATAAGAAAACTGGAGGTGTAGCAAACTTGTTGAATGCATTTCTATATTTATAAAAACAGATGTTATGTTTAAAACGTTTCTGTTTGAAAATGTGCGAACAAAAAATCATCTTCTCTATCTTTTCTTTGCAGCTAAATCATATGGTGTGACCAGAACTAACTGCCTTTTTAATTTGAATAGTTTAGTTTTAGCCATGATGCTACTTTTTGTGACTTATTTTTTTGACTTCTATCATTAAAAACACATAAAAGCTCTATTCTACTCCACCACATCAGAATCTGTTCTGCATGGTGCATGTCAACAATACCTTCATATTGGTAAAGGTACTGGGTACCTTTTAATAGAATTGAGAAGAAATAGTTTCAAATGCAACTGAATACTTTGAAGCACCTATACAGAATGCGGCTAGAGTATGTTCAAAGCAACAACATCTCAAACTGTTCAGAAACAACTGGTTAATAATTAGAGAGGTGTCATTTATCCAGGAAAATAAAGCACATTGCTGGTTCCAGCTTCTAACATGTGAAGATTTTTCTCTGTTTCATATGATTGTGAATTAAATATTTTCATGTTTTTGTCAGACAAAACAAAACGTGGTTGGCATTTTTACTCTTTTTTTTTTTTTAACTCCTACAAACTTAACAACCAAGTGAAAACACGAAAAAAGACTCAGAAACCAAAGACAGCATTTTGGTCGGGGTAACAAACTGTTTTGGTAAAGGCGGTAGACATCGCAAACATGCACAAACACACACACACACAACTGTGCGTTGTACTGCCAAGGGACTGCTGATCTCCTTGAACAATCAGCCCTTCACATTTGGCAGAGGATGCAGGGAATAAGACTCCCACACCCACAGCGAGCCTTTCAGCTGTGTGCAACAGCATCAGCAACAAAACAAATGTTTTTTTGAATATGCAATGCTAATAAACTCAGAGGATGATAGATTTCTGCATCCTTTTCATCATCTCTCTTTAAAGAGCCAAGGTCCTCTGTCAGTCACACGCAGAGTGAGCAGCACGCCCTTTGAAGTCTCACTCTCTCCTCTCTTAGATGTACCTCATTTCCATTCTGCGATGCAAAAATGATTTGTATTAATGGTGGACTAATGCATGCACAGCAGAGGTGAGTGTAAGTGTGTGTGTGTGTGTCTGTTTGTGTGTTGCAGAGGAGGCGGGAACTAGAGGAGGCAGATGGATGGACAAGGACAAAACCAGAGGAAAAGGAAGCATACACAACCGCAGACCAACACACAGAAAACAAAAAGCCTGTGAGGTTTCAGAGCACCTCTCTAACCTTCAGTCTTCTCTTAAGCTCACTGTACCCAAGAACAGAGAATATCTAACATTAGGATATCAAACACACAGAAACAGCTCCTAGTAGAGTTAAAAAGGATCGAAGCACTAGACATACAACTGCTCGGTACATTTACGGACAAAACTAGTCCATGTGGGTGATTTATTTCCAAAAATTTTTCAGCTGGACTCTATTCCTACACAAGTATACATATTCAAATGAAGTAAAACAAAGGATGCACTACTGTGTGCTGTAATGGTAAAGACAAAAGGCCACCACACTTTACCTACTTTATATCACACTGCAGACTCGTAGAAAAAGATGAAAATTGGATTTAAAATGTTTAAAAAAGTAGTACAAAATTGCTGTTTCATCTTAATATTTCCTTTTTACTTGTCCCGACATTACTGAAAATCCTTCCCACGCTGTCCTCAATGCAGGAGAAAATACAAGTTGGATACTGACTTGTTTGAATGCAGGGACATAATACGAGTGACCTACCATTCATGAGAGCGTAGGTGAGGATCATGACCGAGTTGTTGAGGTGTCGGTTCTCCTCTCTGACCACACTGAGCGTGGCTCTCTTCTCCTGCTCTGATGACTCTCGAGACGTGATACCGGATGACAGGTAGATGATCACCATGTCTGTGGCTGACAGAGGACAACAACACACATGAGACATGTCAGTTAAAGGGATAATCTGGTTTCTTTAAGTGAGGTCGTATGGAGGTGCTTATCAATAGACGATGCATTATTTGCAGTAGATGGCAATTCACATGTCAGGAGGACCAGAATGGAAGCGAAGCGATGAGCTGCTGTAGGAACTGTTAACAGCAAAACATATTTCAGTCACCTAACAAAAGCCCTCCTAAATAAAAAAAATATATGTCTCTTAAACTATATGCTACATTTAGATTGTGACCACTGCTTTACCTTGCTGTCAAAGAGCCCTTTCCGATGGATAAAGGAAGCAGTGTAGCCAGCAGACTCCGTTAACAAAAATAGCTATCTTTCCTCACAAAATAATCACCGTGTCAATTTGTTGTTTAAACACCAAAGTCACACAACAACAAACAAATTAACCAATCAAGTCAGCGATAGACCAGCAACTCTAGTGTTCTGCAATGCAAAATTACAGTTTTCATCAATGGAGTCTGGTGGCTGTGTGACAGCAAGATACAGCAGCAAAAAATTCTAAATGTAGCATGCACCCACACAGGATTTTTTTTTAGGCATCTGAGACATGTCTTGCTGCTGACCCTATCCACAGAAGTTCACTACTTAGCTACTGTGCTGACCCTCCAGTCTGCTTCTACAAACTGGCAAGGTGCCATATACTGTATGTCAAATACGCCAACAAAACCTGCAAAAAAAAAAACTGGACTAGACCAGTGAGACAATGCACAGACAACTGCACATTCCTAACACGCAGCATCACCACAATTTCACAATGCCATCTTCCTCCGTGTGTCTTACTCGTGCTCTGTCTGCTGAGGCTGCTGGTGTTTCGCAGCAGTTGGAAGGCCTTCTGGAAGCCCGCCGCGTGCTGTGTGGCTCCATCAGAGGCCTTGATGTTGGAGATGAAGGTGGTCATCTTCCTCTTGGTCTCGCTGGTGGCCGGAGACAGTAGACTCTTGTAGCACTGGTCTAGAGAGCAGGAGCGAACTGTCTCTGCCACGGACAGGATGGAGATCTTGGGAGGAGAAATAATGAAATGAAAACGCAGCTATTTGAAAAACACTAACGTCTCTAAAAGTTTTTGTTAATTTCCCTAAGCCCTTTAGATTATGTAATGAGCTTTAAAATAAAAGAGTTCTGAATATGTATGTATTCTTAATAAAGAGAAAAGGCATGTTCCCTTTCACAAACCTTGTCATGTTCATCTATGGCATTGAGGATGACCAGTGCAGAGTCCCTGGCGATCTGAAGCTGTGTGTCCGTTACAGACGCTCCGTGGTCAACCATCACCACAATGTGTTTCGACTGTGGACGCACTGCTGAGACGTACACAGGCCTGCAACAACACAAACACAAATACACACGTGGACATGTGAGATACTCGACCAGACAGAAATATATCCCAAACACACACTCTAAGCAGTTGTACAATTGTGGAGCAGTTAATACTCTAAAACCACGTGTGCATAAATTCCTACAATTGTAGGAGAAATCCTCAAGCATCAAAAGTTACAAAAGGACTTTACAATTCCATTAATGCTCATGTGGTTCTTGAGTTATGCAATATGATTTTTAAGTTCACAGTTGGAAAACCTAAAGTGCAGCAAAGTGAACTTTCTAGAGATGAAAACATTTTTAAAAAACTATATTTATGCAGGTAAGTGTGACTATGAACCCAGTTATCCTTTACAGGAATGACCGTGTTACTTATTGCACCATCAGGATTATAAAGATGTGGATGTAGGGGCAGTTCACTTTGTTCTTTATCCACTGAATCTGCATGAGAAGAATGAGCCTGCAGTGGACTGATGAAGGCAGACTTGTTGGCTCGTTGGAGGTATTTGTCGTGGCAATTTTTCAGATTTTCACCGCTGAGTAGCAAATGCCACTAATGTATGTCTCTTCTGTGCTAATGACATACTAGACGATCGACATCTATTATTCTGAAGTAATTCTAGAAATGCAAAAATAGAACTAATGAGGCATTTTGTTTAGTCTTCAAATATTTTCAAGATTTGATGAAGATTATCATCTGAGACGTGTGTCACTGTATGTGCTAAGTCAGTGGGCTACAGGCGGGTGCAGAGTGTAGGGGGGTCAGAGCCTCTGTGTGTGTGGTCTACTGGACAAGGAGACACTAACAGAGGGAGAAGAAGGACTCACAAAGCCTCATTCACGCTTGAAGCAAGCCAGGCAACGTCATTTCTCCCATGGCTGTACGCCAGCTCACTGACTTGAACAACAAGAGGGAAAAAAAAATCCTAAAGACATGATAAAAAAGAAAAAAGAAAGAAAGCGCGTCCATGCAAAATGCACAAGGGCGCAAGAGAGAGACGTCTTTCAGCCGTGGCCACAAAAAAATCAACAACACTGGAGGTGTGAAATTCCAACGGGCTTTAGTGGTACGGAGCCACATTCCTGCCAAGGGCATGTGTGGTCAGGGTGTATGAGGGCAGCATGCCATCAACATGCCCTCTGGGCCACCCCACAGCAACTGGCAAAGGAGAGGAGGGGGGTGGAGGGGTGGAGGGGTGTCAGAGGCCGAGGAAGATGAAGGCAGGAACAAGTTGTTGTGGCTTAAACCTCAGCCAGTCTGTTCCAGTAGTCCCGTTTGCAGCAGCATGTATGTGCACCATGCAGAGTGGCAGCAGGCCCTCGGAGCTTTAGTGATTGTTTGCTGTCTGTTGCTGCTGTATTGTGTGAGCTACATGAGTTTCCCCAAGGGCATGAAAATCTAAAGCACCTACATATCTATCTAGTTTGCTGCATAATATACTTAACAAATGGTGCATTTGGTATTAACTTGGTGAGTCATTATTGTCTCTTTACCCAGTCAAACAGCTCAATGACAACAGGGAAGAAGAAGAAGAAGTGGTTGTTGTGTACCTGCTACGGTGCTCGTAGTTTCCTTTACAGTGGAACTTGTGGGCAGGGAAGACGGTGAAGATGCCCTCCTCTGAGCTGAAGTACTGCCACTTTATCCCGGGATTGGACTTCAGGTTGTCGGCCAACACTGCAGAAGGAAGAGACAGGGACAATTAAAGACACAGGGTTTCGAAACAGGAAAGAGAAAGACCATGAAAGGGAAAAAAAAAAAAAACTGAGTGAGAAGGGGGGGAAATAGGAAAGGCAGGAGGAAAACAGATCAGTAACTGGGGACTTCAGTGCTGTTGAGAGTTTCTCTTGTTTGGAGTTAATGCTACTGAGAACCAAAACCTCTTTCAGGGGGCCGACCTTCTGAGTTCAGGGGTCAACTGCACTTCCTGTGTGAAGGAAAGAAATCCCTGACATGACAAGATGAGTCCAAAATACACACAACATACTGCGTCCATGTATTATTGCAGTCATGATACTCGTGTCCTCTTGCCTTTTACTTAGATTGTGTGAGCTGGCTAAAGAACCAGCTGTATGAGTGTAAAACATTGTATGTAAAACTGAGCTTTCCTGACTCAAGCACGCATTAAAAAAAAAAATATATATATATATTACATGTGTGATATGAGAAAAAGGCTACACGTGGCACAACTTCTGAACATTATTTGGACATATTAATTCAAAATCCTAGCAATATGTGGAAGGGATGACACATGGTAACCAACATGTATCTCAACCAACGAGACTCTATGAAAGGGAAAAATGACAACAAAAAAACATAAATAAATAAAAATAAATAGTAATACTCTAAAACAATTTATATAAAAAGCAAAATGAATTTTGTATACATGCAAGTTTTTTGGTTGCGTAGTGTTTATTAGCTTGCAATAGCTAACGTAATCAGCTGTGTGCTAGCTGTTAGCTAGCTAGCAATGGCTAACCTGGCTAGCAGCTCTGTACCTGTAGGAATGTGTTTACTAAATTCAGAGCTCTGAAAAAACTTTTTTTTCCCTCTCATCTTTTTACATTAATGAAGCAGATTCAGAAAACTAAAGAATTTTGTTGCTGAACTTGAAACATTTTCAACTTCCACAAATACATGAGTTCAAAGAACCTGCTTCGTGTTATAAAACAGAGTTAGATATGATTCAACCATTCGTGTAGAAGACAACTTAAAGCTACTTTGTGGGAAGAGTCTAACTTGAAGAGGGAGTCTGTGATTCTGGAAAGACATTGTTGATAATTAGCTAGTTAGCTTACAGACGGTTAGCGTGTTGCAGATTTTTCCATCCCTGAACTGGACTCACTCGAATATATGTCACATCAACACTTTGTTCATGAGAAGAGTTCTTTTGAACACCATCGACACAATGTTTTCCACATACAGAGCCAGGTATGTGTGCAAGCATTTGTTTTTTTAGTGCACGCACAGAACAGACAGCCAGCAGCCGGTGAGGAGATATTCATTAAATAGAACAAAAGCCGGCTGATCCAACCACCACAACATGGCCAGAGGTTGGTAGACTCTTCTCCTCTGTGGTTCCCCGGTGGTGGAACGAGCTACCAAACTCTGTTCAATCTGCTGATTCCCTCTCAGTCTTTAAGAAAAGATTTAAGACCCAGCTCTTCACTGAACACCTTAGCACTTGTCAGACTGAAAACAAAAGAAAAACAAACCAAAAAGAAAAACAAACCAAAAAGAAAAAAAAAAATTCCTATTGTCTCCTATACAGCCTGCTGTTGGCACCAACGCTCTGTCACACTTGAACTTGTTTTATGGCACTTATCCAGGCTGTTTTCTCCTGACTATATCCTTGCTTGTGTTGTATCCACTCTCAGATGCAAAATGAAACTGCAGAACAGTAGAATGAGAAGTGCATTGGACTCCACCTTGAAATTGAGGCATCATTTAAGTAATATTTGTGAGCTGCTGCACACTAACTTCTGTAAGCTGTTAACTTTGCTTACATTAACGTTTTCCCATTTGTGGCCTTTTGACACCGAATCAGATCTGCCTGCCTGTTGGAACCTGACAGGGAATCAAATCCATCACTTTCGGACTAGACTTACAGAGTAAACATGTTTCGGCATTTCCCCATTCACACCTGTCACAGAGTAAATTTGCTCACAAAGAACATGAGTTCTGAACTGTTCAACTCCTGGTGAGCACACAGGACATTTCATTCATTTTTGATTCTGGATTTTGTCTGAAATAACAGCCAACTACAGCCTCTGCAGAGTTATGAAGAATATTTGCTCAAAACTAACAGAGATTTTTCCTTTTTCTTTTTTTTCCCTTTACTGGGTCACAGAGTCAACAGTATCTTCACAGAGATCCCATCACAAAGCCGGCAACTTCCTTTCCGCTCACTGCAACACAAAACGGCCTTTCACAAAGAGAAGGGGGGGAGAAGGAGGGAAGAGGAGGAGGTGGCGTTTGGGAGACACAAATAGAAACTTTGAGCCTTTAACCGAAGCAAAAACAGAGACGGAGAAGAAACAGAGCGTGGCCATCAAAGTAGGCTTCATTAAAATAATACAATGCAGCTGTTAAAATACAGGAATGCAGACCAACCATGGTGAATCCAATCACCCCAGGTCCTCAAACAGCTCAAGTAATCTTATTATTACAGTTTGACAATCCTTACAGGATAGCAAACTTGATGGCAGGTTGAAAACATTAAGAAGCTGCGTGGCGATCATACAAACTGCCATTTCCAATACATGTTTGTTTTATGTGATTGCATCGAATCTTGTGCTTATTTTTGGCTAGAAATTAACCTCGTCTAAAATTAACTCTCATATACTAGAATAATACTTTTTAAAAGTCTGGTTTGATTCATCAAGATGTTACGATTCTTAGTATCAATAAATATTCATTGCTTTGTCTGCAGGTCGTGAGCAGCTGTATGTATTCACCAGCTACTTTGCCATTGAACTGGCTATTTGTTATTATTTGGATGGAGGTTTCCATGGCCTAGAATAGGATTTCAAATATCTTCTTAATTACGTATGCTCCCTGCCAGACGAACTACCATCCTTACATGTCAGTTTGGTCTGAATAGTCCCAGAATGTGGTTCTTGGCTTGTGATCATGTTGAATTAATCACCTGCTAAAGAGAACCTGCGTTGACCTTTTCCAACCTTCCAGCTACAAGTCAAAGCTTATTTTTTTCTCCTCTGGGTGGGATGGAAAATCACAGGTCAACTAATTCAGCTAATACCAAAATCCGAGTCACATACGAACTGATAAATCACAGAACTGGTGTGAAATCGTCCAAATGCCAAACATTATAAACGGCACCAATAAAAGCACCTCTGGCTACATTTACTTGGCGAAGAACTACTTCTTTTTGAGACACAGCGGGTTTGCCCGTCATACATCATCCCTGCCTCGTCACTCCATCCATCTCAGAGGCTCGTATAAACAGGAACCACTCAGTTGTGTTGACAGTGGAAGAAGGGCTCTGTATACATCTGTCAGGCTACAGTGCTCCATTCTGCCACCAATGTTTAGATCTTCTCAGAAAACACGTGGTCAAAGCCAAGAAATCGGACCCAAACGACACTCATTTCCTCCAACCTGACTACTATCTGCAAATGACCTGCTCTGATAGATCTGCAGCAACGTGCATACATAAACACGCCAAATGCACAGCTTTAAGTATCGCTTTCTAGTGGAGAATGATTCACAGATTGCAGAAATGTCAGACGTATCTGCTTCTAGTGCCACCCAAGTGTATCCTCATTCTGACCTACTTAAACAGTTCTCTTTTACGAGAGCTATAGACTGCACACTTGAAGCCATCTTGCCCGTTCACTCCGCAAAAGACACAGTTAACGGAGAGTCGTTTAAATCTAAAGAACGAACGAGATGCTTCTAATCAATTTCATTAACAACGAGATAAGAAATGCTGATTTAAATATATGGTGTCATTACAGCAATTGCTCGCTGTGTATTTCTGTTTTCTTCATGTCTGACTGCATAAACAACACCAGCTATACGAGGGCAGTGGAGTGCTCTGAGCTAAATGCTGACACCTATGCGCAGATACGCGTTTAATCTGTACATCTGAAGAAGTTCAAATCGTCAATATTTCCTCGTCTGAATTTAGAACTGCCTCCGATCATGTGTGCACAAGTGATGAAGGACCTTTGAAACTGTACGTACACATGTTTTAACTAAATGTAGCCAACAATATTATAATAAAAATGAAACTTTACTAATGCACGGATCAAATGCAACTATGCAAGTGCTTCCTCTTCAGCTGAGATCGGTCGACTCCTGTGAAACTTTTATGAGGCATCGGAAAACGTTTTTATTTAGCCAGGCTTTTGGTTGAACTGTAGCTGCTTCATTTTATTTTATTTGATCTAATTTCATTGTATTTTATTTATTGTTGTTGACACACTGTATTCTAGCTGTTGCTCCCCTGTTATAACAATTAATTACATTATTGTTTTGTTTTTATCCTTGTTTTATTATTGTTGTGAGCACTTTGTGATTCTGTATCTGTGAAAACTGCGATATAAATACACTTTACTAATTTAACTTACAATCCATGCCCTTTCCTCCTCATCAATTACTGTTTTGATTAAAATCTTCAACTACAACGCTGTAGTTTCTCAGCTTACAATGGAGTATATGAGAATGTCCCTTTTGGTTCTCTCAGTTTTTATTGGTTTGGCCTGTTATGACGAGCTACTTCCACCAATATCACCAACTGGGACGCTAAAGGGCCGTTAAAAGAGTTGCCAGGGGCAAACATCTTTACATCCCCGAAAGGTGTGCAGGGTCACTCTGCAGTGCTGTGTCCTTCACAACATTGCAACAGTTCACGTCATTTCTCCTGGAATGGAGTCGCAACTAGACCGACCAAATGTGTGACCTCCTGGCAGGGCTGCAGCTACATGCTTGCCATGATTTAATACAGCTTCTTTAAGGATCGTGAGTATAAATATAATTTTAAAATGGCGAGCTGAATCCTACTGTTGAAATAACCTGCTTTTCTGTGCTGGAAACTTCAATATGTTCCAAAATTGCAGCCAGTAATGCAACCATGTAGGCTGTCAGACATTTTTCTGAAGCAAATGAAACACTTTTTTTTCCCCTCCTCAAACCATTAAAAAAAAAAATAAAAATCTCAGCTATAGTCTGTCATAGTCCCAGTAGACACATCATTCATCGCCTCAGCTATTGCAGCACAAGTCTCATCTTTTTTTTTAACCTCAGTCACTCCAGGGGAAACACTTCATTAAAAAAAAAAAACTCTGCCGTTTCTGGGTTCCAACTTGGATGTTTTTTTATTTTTTCATTCCCAAAATTCCTTTGATTTTATGCTTTAAGGACCATGCTTCCCCTTCTAGAACAATTTCACCACTTTTTCCACGATACACCTCGAGGCAAACATATTTCCTTACATAGGGAACGAGGCAGCATGCTGATTGTAATAGCAAGCATGCGCCTGTCAGGTTAGAAAGATTGTGTTTCACTATATGCATGTGGTGGTAAAAACAACTCTTGGCCGATGCACACGTGTATTTTTTCGTATTTTCTATGCAAAGTATGGCTATTTTAACAGATTTTGGTAAAACGGCGTTCTCCTGTCAGGCATCATGATCATGGAATAACCTTCAAAAACACTCTTACACTAGAAACATTCACATCCATAAATGAGTATCATAAAGAATACAATCACTGTTTTTCTTGAGAGGCCGCTGTCCTTGAATAGTTGTCTATCTGCTTTATTGTTTTACTGTTCATTGTTCATTGTGTGTCATGTATCTCTTCTACAGTAGTTCTTTGACTTTGTATGGCCGCTACCTTGGCCAGGTCTCCCTTGTAAAAGAGATATCTAATCTCAATGGGACTTCCTGGTTAAATAAAAGTAAATAAATAACTAAATAGAAACTTCTAAACATATATTACTGAATGAGGCCCAAGGATGTTAAACACATGAAATATTATCCACGTTCCTAACAGTAGTTTAGTGTGACACAGAGCTAGCATTTGCTGTTAGCACTACACACAAAGTATTGGCCATAACAGGAGCGGACGTGAATGAGTGTACTGAATTTTATCAATCAGCAACCAAGCTGCAACCTCCAGAGCTGAAAAATTCCACCATTATGCAAGTGCCAAAAACTTCAGTTTCTCGAATGGCCAGTTGAGCCTGGCTACAAAAGTGTCTCGATACTCACCGACTGTCATGCTAAAACGCACAACTTTTAAAATGGAGTCAGGCACTGTCAGCATGGTGACGGTTAGAGCCACCACTCTTCAGGAAGCTTATGGGTGGCATCATGGAGGATTTGTCCATCTTTATATACAATGAATGGATCCAACTAATGAGACCACAACTGTCAACTCATGGAGGTTTTTGGTATCTCACTAAAAGTCATTTTCATGCATTCACCTGGGAATATCTCTACAAAGTGATATTCCATCTAGGAGATATGTACATATTTCACAGGATAAGTGAAAACTTTGACATCCTGGTTATGCTAAATGAAAAGCCAAGGTGTCATAAAAGTCAATGCGGTGCATTCATGAATATCTGAGTACTGAAATCCATCCAGTAGTTGTTGACAGTGTGGACAAAATTTGTACAATGACAGATTAATTTAGCAATAGACTGACCAATGGTGCCGGAGCTTCAACTTCACATGAAAAAAAAAAAAAAACAACTTGTATTGTGGACAAACTTTGTTTTGTATTAACAGTAATTTCTGGAATTTCGGTTCAGTTTTGTGTCCCAGCTTGTCAAAAACAGCCATAGACCTTGTCATGGTGTTTGGTGGTATTTCAGCCTGAAGTTGGAGTTCAAGTGGCTGAAACACTTCGGCATGTACATTTGCACATGCACATTAAGTGCAGGGTTTGAAGGTTTGCATCATTTGGGAACCATTAAATGGAGAGGAAATTGAGAAAAGTGCAAGCTGGAGGTTGCATCATCTTTAAATTAAAGAAATAGCTGAGATTGCTCAAGAAGTGGGGCACAAAAAAGGAAAAAAAAACCTGATGGAGAAAGAGAGAGAGGCTGGATCAAACTAGTGGCGTAATCACACGCCACTCTACCCCAGTTACCTTTCATCTACCTACTGTATCCCTCCTCGCCCACCTGCTGGTATCAGTATTGATGGTTCCCACATCCACCATCTTCGCCTCCCCCCCCAAAAAAAAAGTATAATGGAAGATGAGAGGAGGGAAGATGGAAGAAATACAATGCAGTCTTGATACAATTACTCCATTTCAATCAGCTCTCACCCCCCTCCCCTCCTTTCCTTTCATTCATCATTCTCTCCCTCTCAATTATCCCTCGCTCTCTCACCTACTCCCCTCCCTCCCCTCTGTAGCTGCTTGTTTAGACTGGGCTGAGACAAATGGGAGAGAATGAATAAACTGGGAGTGTTGGGGGTCAAGGAGGGCTGAGTGTGAGGGACAGGCAGAGGAGAGGGGAGGCAGAGGGGTAACTTGAACTCGCCGTGACTGGCTTGCAAGGAAAATAAAAACCCGCCGATGGTGACGTGTTATGAATGGCGGTCATTATGAATAGTTTGCAGAGAGGGGATATCTGGGGAGGGGGGAAAAGAACTATGAGGTGGGGGGCAGCAAAGGGATGACAGAGGAAGGACAAATGATGATAGAGGCTGCACAGAGAAAGAGGAAAGGCAGGGTTGGACAGTGATCCTTCAGGTAATTCCTGCACAGTTCATTTGGGATTACTGCAAGAAAAATGCAACATTTCTCAAAAAGTCAGTCAATATGTTCAACCAGTGTGTGGCTCGCTATAAAGTTAGGTGTCTCTGTGCAACACTTTTTGTCTTGAATTCTCAAAATAAGTCAAGCTTCATGCTTCCTACTACCATGCCCTATAGCATTTGCATTGGATTAAAAAATCGACACATTTTAGTGACTTAAAATGAGGAACTTTGTTTGGAGCAGTAACTTTTATTGAGGGGAAGTGCAGCACGACAAGACATGTTTATCAGGAAACAGTCCGAGAAATGTTAGTGGAGGGTATTTATTTGGATTCTCTTCGTGAAAATGGTGATGAAAAGCCTTATTGTTTGCAGAGTTGGTAAATTCATCAGCATTCTTCCAATCTGACAAGTTTATATTGCTTTTGAATACTCAAAAATTATACAGGGATTTTCTTTAATTCCAGCAAAAACAAGTGCCTGGAGAGAACTGTGAGTAATTTTACAATATGCATGGAACTGAAACTGGAAAGTTAAGATACATAATGAGAAAAAGAAAAAAAGTCAGTTATTGTGTGAAATGCAGCAGTGCAGCTCGATACGTCTCTGCTGGACGCAGGAGGAGCGCGCCGCTGACCGAGCGATGGCAGAAGAACAGAAAAACCAGCGGGGGAAAGTTGGACTTTGCCTGCTTTTTAGTCAATTTTGTCGATTTTCCTCTTAATCAAATGCAGACCAACACGTGTGGCGCAGACACATGTGGGTTTTACATGGTAGTATTCTGCAATGTGCTTATGCAATCTGGAACCTCAATAAACGTATGATGGGAGCAGCGAGCGCACCATCAGACCGTTTTCCAAGGAGGACGCCGAGGTTACATTCAGCATATACGCTACTACGAAATGAATAAGCCGGAATTTTGTGAGCTGATGCAACTTCCATTTGAGGTAAAGCGAGAGCAGAAACAAAGAACTAAAATGCCCTTGACAATAGGACGATAGAAACACACATTCAACCTGAATACAATTGCAGACGAGAATTCAAAGTCAAAGAGTGCGTTTGATCTCAGGCTATTAAAAAAAAAAAAAGCATTTTAAAATCAAAGGCTAAGAAAGCAGAGGAGGCAGAAAGAAATGGAAGAAAGTGAGAGTGAGGAAGCACAGGAGAGACTATAAAAACATCTCCTTGGACACGCACAGCTTATTATTTTAGTCTCAGATCAATGTCCTCTATTTTCCTGCACTTCAGAAGCGAGGGAGGATACAAAAGATAATGCAATTTTCTTAATTAAAAACCGGTCGCTGTGGCAACGGCTGTTAGGTTATTGCTTTTTTTTTTTTTTGGTCAGTTCAAAAAAATGGATTTAAGTTTAAATGGCCCGAGCTTCACGTCCATGTTTCATTTGTTTAAACCAGGTCGGTTTATATATACTAGCAAATGACAATTCCTCCATCTGGTGTGTGTGTGCTTCCTGTGTGTCTGACAAACCTGAGTTGAGGTCTCGTCCGGGGTTGAAAGCTCGGCTGTTGACGGTGGGGGAAAGTCTGTCACAGCAGATGGTCTTGGAGACGTTGGTATTGAAGTTCCCATCAAACCTAAACACACACAAACAGGCAACATTTGAGAATTTATAGAGCGCGTCCAACTCATTTGTTGGTGGAGCAGCGCTGGCTTTTTCTTCTCGGCACTAACAGATTTACTACTCCGCAGTTTTATTTAATGTAAACCCAAACTCGCAGGTTTGTTCATACCTCTGACTTCATAGCAACGAGCACGTTTTAAGTAATAAAGCCGTGAAGTAAAGCTACAGGACTATTAGTAAAAAAAAAAAAAATACATACGTGAAACCGTGAAGTTAATGAAATAACATGAAACATCTGCTGAAACTAATGGACCCTACTTGTTTCATATGAGCTAAATTGTATCATTAACCGTATCATCTGTTGCCCAGACCTCAGACTAAAGCCAGAGTTACGGCTCGTGAATAATTCTTTCCATGGAAAACTGCTTGATTTCTGCTTTTTCTCCCAACAAAGCTAATGCCCAGTTCCCCGAATGCATATGAATGCGACCGTGAGAGCGGCTGCCTGCTTAACTTAACGATGTGATTCACGTGTCAAAAATTTTGTCTTTGTCCTGGTCAAACTTTTTTTTTTTTCCTTCTGGTCCACATTTCCCCTGCGTCACTTCAGCAGCAGAGGATTTGCAGCAAAGTCCCTGATGTTGCTAGTAAGGTATTGCTTTGTTGTGGTGATGGTGGACATGAGTACAACTGGATAATCTACAGTATGTGCATAGTGATCGTTACATTTCTATTGATAATGAAGGGACAATGATAAGAATGAGACAATGTTGAGACGGTACACGCTGCTTAATGAACACATTTTTTGTAGGGATTCAAATTAGTCCCTGGATTAGTTTAAAGCACCCGAGAGACCTTTAAGATCACTTGATGTGGATGATCTATAAAGCTGACATTTCATTGATGTGTAAATCCAGTTTAGACCATTTCTGTTACCATCCGTCCATTTCTTAAGTTGAGAAAACTACAAAATGTCCAAAACAACAAATGCAAAAAAAAAAGGTCAAATGACATACTGTATGCTCTTCACAAGCTCTTCCTATATACAATTACAATGAAGCCATAATTACATGGAACAGGATGAAGTCTTTCAGAAACTAAGCCCACTAAACACCGCTGGCTGCCAGTCGGAGGTCCTCCCACTGGCCGCTTTACGCTTACGTTCTACATATGGCGTACGAGAAGATGAAAGTGGAAGGAGAACGCAGGGTGGGCTCAGAGACAAAATTGAAGATGATTACTTTAAACATTTACATCCACCAAGCCAGCCTTTAAACAAAGGGCTCACGTAGAAGGACTGTTTGCTCGCTCTTTGGTACTCGAGCTCTAGTATCGCATTTAATGAGCCTCAGAATTTAAGTCTGTGACTAAACGGTTCCTCCTCCACAACCAGACTGAATGGCTTATTAGGAGAAATGCAATTAAACAGCAAAGGCAGACAGGTATTAATGTGTGGATCAGAGCCAGTGCAGCAGAAATGGTGTCTGATGTCTATCTCCTAAAGGCCTGAAAGACGAGAGTGGACGGAAAGAGACGGAGAGGCGAAGGTCAGGGGCAGGATTGAAGTTGAATCTGAGGCAACATGAAAAAAAAAAGATAAAATAAGAGTGACCTGATTTGGACATATGTAGGATCTGGATGTAGTTACAAAGAAATGCTACGTCCAAATTGTTTAGAAATGTATTGCTCGGCTCCATTAGCCTCAAGGAGCAAGTTCAGGCCAGAATACATGTAGATCTGTCTCCTTGGTACGACTGACAATTTAACATACGCTTTAACCACAATATGTTCTAAAACACTCTTTCTTTCATGTAATGACCACTCCTGACTGTTAGCATTTAGGATACAACAATCCGATCAGTCACAACACTAACACCACCAGCAGGTGCAGTGAACAACATGGATCATCTCAATACGATGCTACGTTCTGCTGGAAAATCGTGGGTTCTGCCATTGGTGTGGATGTCCCACCCATCTAAACACACTGCAGATGGAGCTCAATGGTCGTCCCCTCCCCCATCAGGACAATGCACCGCACGATGATGCAAAAACTGCTCAGGAACAGCTCGAGGACCACGACAAAGAGCCCGAGGCAGTGACCTGGCTATCAGACTCCACAGATCCCAGTCAAATCAAGCATCTATGAGATGCACCAAAGCAAGCCCAAATCCATGGAGGCCCCACTACAGGACCCAAAGGATGCTCTGCCAATGCTGTTTTGGCAGCACAAAAGGACTTCACTGACTCTAATGCAGGTGGCTTTAGTCTTGTGGCTGTTTGGTGTCCATCCCTAGAATCAGTTAAACACTGCGTAGCTCTGAGAAAGAAGGAGCATGTCCATTATCTGCAATCACAATGAACTTTCAATGAACCAGATACAATTAAAAACTCTTGTCAGTCATTATTTCCGGCACAGCTGCTTGGCTCGCTCTGTAACTGGCCTCTACAAGGAGATCTGGTGTGACATGAAAGATGCGGCTCAGTAACATAGCGTTGGCCTTGAGCGTACGCACGCTCAAAAGCGTTAAAGAGGTGTTAAAAAAATGAGACGCGAATCGCAATCAGCACATCTTTAGCACACTGGCCTTTCTACAAACATCGCACGCGACATATCGTTTTTCAGTATTTTATTTTAGCATAGAGCAACAGCGACGTTGTTTTAAAATATGCTACACGTGTGTTGACAGTAAAACCTGGTTTCCACAACCTTCCAAAGAAGCGGGGGGGAGGTATGCAGAGGAGCAGGCTGTTCTGCACTGCACCAAGCCTGGGCGCTTTGATCCTTCCATCCCTCCAAAACTACACCCCCTCCCCACCTCCCCCCCCCCCCCTCCTCTGGCTGAGCAACATACATGTGCACACGTCAACACTCACACATGCTACACACTCTTTGGCTCGCTCTGCTTGCAGACCTGGCGCTGGCCGGTTTGATTGACAGGTGCTGTGATGTACAGGCTGCATTTGAACTTCACTCATTTAGAGTCCCATAAGGCCAAAGTCATTACTATTCTCCTTCAACCCACTCTGCATGGAAGGGGTGGGCAGGACGCTCAGCAAAATGTGTGCCAGATAAAAAATACATTTGCAGCCGCTTTGAATTCCACATCAAATAACATATGAGAGACTGAGAGAGAGAGAGAGGGAGAGAAGGGAGGAGAGCTTCGAGTCTGATCAGGCATCTTAATGAGGGCAGAGAAATCTGTTTTACAAAGAGGCTGGACTCAACAGACAAAAACACACACTCAAACAACACATATACACACTGGACTTGAATTACTGAATATAAAAATAATAGTTTCACTCCACACTATTATCCATAAATGTTAAAAGACTTTGCAAAGCACAATGCTTCTAAATTATTCGTGCACAGAATATACATATTAATATCCGAGGATTGCTTGCATAATAACCATACCTCTCAAAAGGAGAACGTCTGCAATCATTAGAAATGATCCTGAAGATAATTCAACTAATAGACAGCATCTATAACAACAACTTGTTAATTCTTATTCTTCTGAATATATGATGAAACCTGAAGTGTTTTCTTTGCTTTTAGAATGTAGCTGAAACACATGAGTTCTGAAGAACGAAAGAGAAAAAAAAAAAATTAAAGATACAGATTTGTTTTAAGGCACAAGAAAAGAGACATTAAGTCGAGTCTTTTAAAGCGCAGGGTGAAATAGGTGGGCTCTTCGACATCAGGCAGCACCTGTTGTTTTCAGCAGTTACCACCAATTCACTGTTTAGAAAAATCCATTATATTAAGCTGCACCCTGCTGCAAGAATCATGTATTTCCACAGAGAAGGCTGCCCTCCTCCATTCAGAAAGCCCAGTGAGAACAATTACCTTGAAGAGGCTTGCTGTTGCGCGAGCCCTAAAGTCAAGAGTAATACCATTTGTAATGTCCCTTGGAGGTAGCGGCGGTTTAGCGGGCAACATGCTCGATGGAGAAGTGAGGGAGCTCGAAGAAGGCCTCTCTGGCTCCGGTCGACAGCCAAGCAGATTTGATCTGTAGTATCAATATGCAGAATGGATTTTTGCAAAACAGTTTGGTGTCTCACAGTTTCACAAGAGGGGAAGTGGGAGAAAAAGATATAGTGGATTGTGGTCTTGTGCTTTTGCATTAAGCTAAAACAGGTCTCTAACACCCTGATCTCCCTTCCATATTAAAACAAGGTGGACAAAATATCCGCAACAAAATGGAGCAATCCAATGGAGCTTAAAAGAAATCTATGACAAGCTAAAATAAATATCTAACAAACAACGATGTGTTATTGCCAGGCTACTGTAGTTATTGCAGTGGCCTGTACAACTGTAAATGATCAATTTATAACTCAGTCAAGAAAATGATGAACGTGGGGACAATGGTAGGTGAGAATATGTGAAAATGTCTCAAACCATGACCCATGAATTGACTATGACTAGTTCAATCTGTCGCCAGTTTGCAGTGATAATGCCCTCCTTTATTTTGCCCGTCTTCTGCTATGCTGTCCGTTAGTCAAAGCTCTGGGACAACTATGGGTCGGATTATGGACTATAGGAAATAGTGCTGAGAACATGCTGTCAGAGCACGTCAGAAATCAAGTGTGTATAGTTTGAATGAGTCATTATAGAGAGGAGGAGAGCAGGGTTAGACGCAACAGTTCAAACATGTGGAGGCATTAGTAGTGTTGCACTGTACACATAAAGAGTGCTACAAATAATTAGAGTAACATGAGAAAAGAGAACTCCTCTCTCATGTCCTCACAGCTGGCAAATCCTGGTGTGAAGTGGGTGTGAATGTGTTACTGCTGGTTTCAGAAAGTTACAAGATAATGATGACACAGGCACCTCCGATCTGAACGGGGAGAGGGGAGGGGGTCTCCCATGCAGCTCAGACAGACCATAAATCCAATTTAAGGGAGGATCAACTGGGCATCATCGTGGGCGGATCACAGACTGCAGCAGTGGGGCCATAGCCCAGGGGCTTCACTTAGCCGAAGCCGACCTGAGGGCGAGGCTCCTGGTAGTCG